CCTGACGTGAAGAGCCTTAGCTTCCTGTCGAAGAGGTTAGTGCACACAGTTTACAGAAAAGATAAACGATAGGTGAATTCGTTTACATACGTCGACATTTTTGTACGGGTGTCCGGCATTGATTAGATCTCCGGAATAGATAATCGTTTACGAATACATACAATACGTGTGTCCACGATTTATGGCTCGTCGCTGCACGAGGACGTCCCGGAATATTCTGTATATTTATTCACGAACCAAAAGAACTCGCGCAGAACTGAAACATCTCGTTACATAAACGTTACATTAAATCACTACAATTGTATTAAGAAACTAACAGAGTAAATTTCAAAGAATTTACACGGTACATAATCGTATTTAATTAAGGGCCTTCGTTCTACAATAACATTAACATACAGTAGATAATAAATTACTTAACTATGTATGAATGTCACTTTATATTGTAAAATAGTAAAATCTGTAGGAAATACGTACTTTCACAATTTTCATACCGGGTGTTATTTAATAGGCTTTTTTAGGCTCCCAGAAAAAAGTTCTCGACAGCAAGGATTAAAACAGGAAAGAAATGTTTCATTTTCATCGTCCTGAACAGATAATTATGTATGTCTGTATGTCGGTGTAACCCGATAATGGGTTCGATTGTAAACCCCCGGACCGATCCACGCCTTGCTGACAATAAACCCTGAGCGATGTGTGCACGATATACACACACATCCACGGACACATTGTCGATAGGACAAACTGCTTAGAGCACGAGACGACGCGGGTAAATTAGCGGCAACCATGTCGCCAGATGTACATTCACCGTAAATTGGGGTTGATTAAAGAGGGAAACACGACGCGCGTTGATGGGGCGATGATACGTTTAAATACGTCCACGGGTTCTTAACAAGTTCGCCGCTGGCCAGGGTACATACGTTACATACATCGCGTATCTCCGTCCCGCACGTCCCAATTCCACGGTTCATTCTCCTTATTCGGAACGCGGACGGATTAACCCCCCCGGGGCTCGATGACGGGTGGCAGGGTCACACCATGACCCGACCCCGTGATGTCTTCGCCGCCCATGTTCTCCATTTAAGCAGTTGACGGCGCCTTTGAAAAGTCAAACCAATCAACCACACTGAGAAAAATACTCGGACGAGAATGGACGAAACTTACGGACATTGTTTCGTTAAACTTCGCACGAGATCTTGGAACGCAAAGAAATACTAATAGATTGCTGTAACAGTTTCGATCCTTTTTAAGACACAATAGGAACAGGCGTAGATGCTGTATAACTTTTGCCCATTTTGTGACGGAATGAAGACAATATTATATTTTTGTCGACTAGATTTTATATAGTAATGAAAGATTTTTTTAGGTATACGAACCTAGGGTTGGTGAATTTTAAGAGACTCGGTTAACCTTTCGGTGTTCTGGAGCCATTACAGTAAATTATTGATGAATGTTCAAAGGCTCCTCGGCACTGAGTGTTCAGGTGTCATCTCCACCATTGGGCGCTTGACTGGTTTCAGGGGGAGCCCAGTGGAGATGACGTCTGAACACTCAGTGCCGAGGAGCCTTCGAGCACTCATCCAGGATTTACTGTATATATATATTCCGTTGTCCTTTTATTCGCAAACTAGTGATCCCGTGAAATCAGCTCTATTTTTGATTAAATACAGACCTATTCAAGGGTCAATCGCCACACACTTCTGCCTTGGTGTTTAAGGCTTTCCGTTCTTATCAGAAACGTCCGAAGCAGCGACACCGCCAAAAATAAACGTGGACGGAATACGATAAGCCCGAAAATCACGAAATGAACGTCACTCGGACTTTCGAGGAGGTTTTATGGTATCAAGACACTATGATTTCGGTTATTCGTGCACGCTCGTGGATAAAGAAAATCGAGAGACGGTTAACAGTAGGCCGAGCCCCGAGCCTCTAAAGATCCCGTGAAAAATACGAATGTCACATGGTGTCATCGCGAGAACCTTTTTCGACACGTAGAAAACTCGGCGTTACGAATTGCTCGTGTGTTCGCTGGGAATACGTTGCCCGTCGTCTGTCTCCTTCTCGCGGGTAATATCATTCCGCCACGGTAATGGGCAAATATTGCACGCAATTTCCTCTCAAATTGCTACCCACATAACTTAATTCCCTCACGATGCTGAAGCCCGTAGACTCATTTTTTCCCTCTCTTTGCTGCCTTCTCTTTTTTTCCCCATCAACGATAATTTCCTTCCCGCGGTCGTCTCACAGATTTGCTTCTTATTTTTCCGAAGGATCACGAGAAAACAGGAACGTGAATCTGGATAACCTGACTTACGAGACGAGTCAACGATCGGGATGAACACATTTTTCTATGAATACTGGTGCAACTTATAATACTGTAGACATTTTCTCAACGTTTTATGTCACGGAGTCGATCAGTCTGGTTTATGAATGCAACGGAGATATCTGTTAGGCAGCCATAACCTCTAAACCAGTGTTTCCACACAAATTACTAGGCTAGGGGGGATGCAGCTCTAGGCGCCATTTTTAAGAGGGTCCCGTTCCTAACCGTCCATTTATGCAAAACGATAATTAATAAAAGTTTGTTCAATGTTTTCTTTTTGAAATAACTAGAAACCGTCATTTAAGGTTACAATTAGCTCCTCAGAAATATACTAAAGTCACCAGCAAATCTAGTTTAAAAAAACCACGTACCGTCCGTAATGCGATTAAAAAGTTCGGGAAACGTCTCTGAAGCTCGGATCGTATTACAAAACAGGGAGCCACGTATGGTAGCATCTTGCGCCCAGAAGGCACAAGTAACGCGAACTGTACTTACGTATATGACCGTTAAGTGTAATCGCTTTAGTTGCTCCCGTTTTGCCTGACGAACGATAAACCGATTTCACCGGGCGAGAACGTGGAACGCGAAAAATGATCGATGCCTCTTATCGATATGTTTTCTCCCATGGCATGTTTCCTTTAAAGGGTTCTCCGCAACATCGTGTCGCCTACCCGATCCTCTAATGAATTAACACATACGTGGCCGGGGGGGAGGTTGACGCAGGCGGCTCGAAAAAAAATCGTTAAACATCGCTCCCACAGAGCCTACGCTCTTCTGCCCGCGATAAACCATGTATATTACACTTTTCATATCGAAGTAGACCTTGCTTGTGTAAAAAGCCGAGAGGCGATTCTGTGCAAGTATGCGTGCCAGCCAATACGCGTTAACCGTGTTATGTAGCAACATTTTTTTATGGAATATACGGTGCACTTAAAGTGGATCATTTAACAGGCTATAACGAAACTGTCTTAAAAATACAGTATATTATCTGTAAAAAGTGAACGCAGTAATTTTTATGGATTCTCTATCTTTATCCCTACATCATCGATTGGTATTTCGATGGTTACAAAATCATTTCTATTTTCGTTCTGTAGCACTGGTTTCTTTCGGGTTGTAATTACGGATATCTCAAGAGGCATTCGCTAATATTTTACTTTTTACGCGTGTTTCGCAATACGTAACTGGGTCTTGCTTGAAACTCAGCAATGAGTTGAATTTTGAACACAAGGGGGCATTGAACGAGCAAACACGGAATGACACGAGAACAGCGAACCAGGCATCGAGATTCAGTATTCGTGATATCACGTTCGCAATGATGATTGCGTTTCCCTTCTGAATGCTTCGTTTGTATTTGAATATTCGAATTCAGCGTCTCTCCGATAGAATGATCTGAACGGGCTGGTCTGTATCGACCACGATACATATACTTCGTATCCACGAAGGGGTTAACTAACAGTAAAAGTCGAACAGGGGTCCACGAAGCCACGGGGAAATTGGAAACTCCCGATAAAACGCTTTCAAGCGGCAAAGATGTATTTTTCTATTTTTCAGAGAGCAACGGGTTGTCATCGATCCCGGCGATAAATTCGATCACTCTCGTAAAACTTGGACGCTTCGTTCCGTCCGTGGTTAAGTTTCCTCCGACGAATTTCTTTCTGGTCATAGAGTTCGTTCGTTGTAATTCGAGAAGCAAGTGGTATCCCCTTACCCTTCACGAGCAAAACGTATTGTAAGCGCCGGAGACCCGACCAAAGAAATACCGAACGCGTCCTAAACAATAAACTTCTACCTGCGATGGTCGAGCGTGTTTATCATTACGTTATTCCTTACGCGACACATTGAAAAGTTTGTCAGACCGAGTGCAATATACCCTAAATAAAATCGTGGAAGATGAACAATTCATAGTGAGGAAAATATTGTGAAATATATATCTGTAGGAAAAGAAAGACTGCTTCGTAGATTGAAGGAGGGAATGCAGAGACATTCAATACTGTATTTTTCTTATGCCTAAGACTATGGGAAGGACAATCTCGTGTCGTATGGTTGACCGCGATCGGACTTCGATCTCCTTATTCTATCGAGAATCGATACACAAGACGCGTGTTTCTATGGAGAGACTGTGTATCTCTAGCGAGAACGTATCGCGTCCGAAAAGGAAACGAGCATCCACGATTCGGCGACAGAGGGTGAAAGAGAGAAACCGATAGAGAGAGCCCATCGATCGTCGACGGCAAACACACGCGCGCGCTCCACGAGAAAAAGATCCGTGGATTCTCGTCTCGACACCCCGACCCCAAGGCGCATACGGTTATGGTCGCGTTTCCATGATCGAGAGAATTGTATTTCGCGTCCCCTTGATAACCATGAAATTCGATTTTGAATCGTAGACGTGTACAGATAGGAAGGATGAACACGAGAGAGAAAGAGAGACGGGTAAATTACAGGGCGGGTCTTGCCGTTGGAAAATCGATGGGAATATGCACGGAGAGCGCGTAGAACGGCGATGAAGCTACAGGAACGTCTGTCGCGTTTTCGTGGAGATGACGCTAGGTCGCTTCCGCACGGAATCTGCGTACGTACGGGGGTTCCACCATTTTCATGGCGCGAACCGATTGGATTGTTTCGTTGGGAAAACAAAATAACACAAGACAATTGTTCTAATAAAAATATTGTTACATACCTCGCGCCGTTTCGAGGTTGCAAGGCTTCGCTTCTACAACTTATCTTCCAGGGACAACTGATGCTGAATGGTCCTGCTGTCGTTCCTGCGTGTCCTGTGTGTGTGTGTTGACACGATCGACGGTGGTGTGTGGTAACGGTGATAGTGGTTGTGGTGTCTATGCTCTCTGGTAGCGGTTGGAGATACGAAAAAATGTGTACCCGTAACGCGACTGCGCCACCGGACCGAGTGAGACTGGCTCGAAGCGAGTCTACAGACTACCGAAGCAACGTGTACGAAACGCGTGCGTCCTCGTCGCGGTGCTACCGTCTACTACGTGTTGCTGCTACCAGAGCCACTACCGCTCTGCCCGCTTCTCCCTCTCCGCAGCCTCTTCCTCAACGTGTGCTTTCCACTCCACCATCCCTCCGTGTCCACGCAGCGGCAAGGTTCGCGCGCGGGGTTGCCGCTACCAGCGTCGCCCCATCATTGCGCCGAAGGATATTTTCAAACGTATACCTGTGTGTGTATACAGTGTGCTCACTGTCTCGATACTCGGTGGGAACGAATGTAATGACTTTATTTTTTTTTTTAAAAAAGCTATTCAAAAGGTGTATGAAACAGTACCGTTCGTTGGGTATTACAGTTGACCATAACGTGAGACGGTGTCCTGACATCTGCAGATAAGCAGAAACACTTCTGAAGACCCTTACTCAGCAGAGGTCTTCGTACTCGGGGCCATAAATAATGTATCCCATTTCTAGACTAAAGAATAATATCATTGAGAATGTTTGTTTTGTCCCATATGGTCTTGGTGGAAGAAATATTTAGAATGTTGTATACTAAAACGAACTAGGAGGTATTCTCAGGAAAATTAGCCAGACGCTGTAAACAAATGAAATTAAAGAAATTGGGGGTGTGAAAGCTTCTGGGCCTCGTTAATTCGACTTACGACAACGCTATTGTATTTTCATTGACTATAAGGTGGCGATTAATTACTTCCTTCTGCCTCTTTGTTACCACTCGACTCAAACCTTAAACTTTTCCTCTATTTACGACCCCGTCGAGTTTACTATTTCATTGTATCGTTATCGTGGACTATATACAAGCCATCTCTATTTTTACCATCAAGGAGTAGCCTATTGTCTAGAAGAATTATAATTGACGAAAATGAGTTAAAGAAATAGAATACTGTCTTCTATTCGTATTGAAACTCAAAAGCTTTAATGCCAAAACCTACCCTATAGCATTTTACGAAGTCACTGTATTTGTTTCACCAGGTATACGCGAACTGCTATTTTCCGACGCATCCAGTCAGAATAATAAATATTATTCTCTGTCAGGATAATATTGCTAATCGTTTGTAACGGCGGGATTAAGAGATAGAGAGACAGAGAGAAAGGCAAGGAGGGATTAAATAAGAGTAATCCAGAGAATAAATACGGACCAATGTCCACGCGAAAGATGTATAAAATTATTAGAGGTTATGGCGATGTTGATGATTGTTTAAGAGATTAATGTTCATGAAAGAATGAAAATACATGTTTCGATTAAAAGTGCAAGATCTATGTTCACATTTTTATACCTACACTTGTCAACAGTAATAATTATTGAAATGCCTTTCTCAATAAATCGCGTTGCTACTAAAACTGGTAATACTAAAAGATAACATTATTTGGTTCATTAAGAGGTATTATAACAAGAAGCATATATAAATATCGTTGTCCATAAAGAGAAAATGATCAAAGCATTACAAAATGCAAACGATGAGCGGCTCACGAATACTGAACAGGACATATGACCGAAACGGGGTTTAAATGAGAAAATGCAACGCATGCCGCTGTATCTCACGATTCGGTTTTTACGACCGTGTTTTGCGTTACGATCTCCTGTTTTCTGCCAAGGTAAACAGAACTATGGGTAACTCTGCTCGCAAGCTGTTACGCACGCTGTGATTTTTTAAGAATACTGAACGTCACGAGATAGAAATTCCTTACGTAAAAAAAAGGTATATGTTATCTTAAAAACGAGGACATATCGTAATAAACTTGTACCACCTACGTAGACTACGTTGCTACCATTGGCCACGTAAATTCGCCACAGCCCATATGCATTATCCGACAACTTGTCTTCCCTATATCTAGCGAACGATTAATCACCGTAACACGGCGATTAAACTCAGACTGCGAGTATGCAAGAATATCGATTCAAACGAATAGGATGCAAAACACGGTTGCACGCATAATGGCAGAGCGTGCGTATACGGACGAGCATAGGTATTGTTCATCCCGCCACAAACACACTAAAAACGTCTAGATTACCGATAGAGACGTCCCTGTGTCGAATACTGCCCTACGCCCCACCACTAACTCATGTCGACTATACTCAGTGTCTCTCAACTCACCTTTAACGATTCAGCTAAATTCCCATACAGAGATGTAAATTTCAATCGAACAAACGAAATGAAATGAAAATTTTCCAAAATCCATCGAGAAGCAACAATTTTTTCGATGGGTATAAATGTCTTATCAGAGAAGTACCTCTATGCCAATCGGTGTTCTCTACTACAGACGCCCCTTATATTTCTTCGATGGTTAGGAGGACAAATACATGCTATGTTCGTTGATATACGCGCACACTAAAACAGGACAACCGTTACGACGAAAAAGTCCGTTAACAAACTTCGTCCGCTTGATGCTTTTATTCGGTCCACATTCCCGATAAGTGTATACTAGTAAAAGTTTTTTATCGCGAATACCACGACTTCCCGAATGTGGCCGAGGGACAGAGGAGACCAACCAGATTAACGAGGCGGCCGGCTGGTATATGCCATATATTGCCCGAGCACGTTTCACTGGTAGCCCGTTTTTCTTGGAACGCATAGAAGAAGCTAGACCTTCTTCCTCTGCTGTGCTCGGGTCATATACATTCGCTGGTTCCTTAATTGCTCGGTAGAAGTGGTCTCTTGCTTACGGGGGGGGAATACCGATCGGTCTCTTTCTAACCTGTGCACCGACGACGCTTTCGTGCGACCTTCCGCGCAATCCTGTTCCACGATCGTGGGACGAACCAAAGAAAAATCGCTTGCGCAAGCAAGGGTTCGCTGTACTGCGGTATTCGATGTTTCTTAACGACCGGCTGAACTGGATTTAAAGCAAACAGGATCTCGCGATCCTGTTACAGTCGTGTCCCAAGACTTTTTGATCGCATTTGTAGTCTGTATATGCGCTCGAATTGTTTCAGAGTTTAGGATAACGCGTTCGCTACAGTTCTTTGTTTTTCGAACTGTTTTCACTGATCGCACTGTAGCTCCAACATTTTATCCAACACTATGTATACTCTTTAATAGTGTATAAGAACATCGTCTTTTTTTCCTGACGTAACACAGCAAATTACGAAACTAATATAGCGTGATAGCGAACATGTTAAGTTTTAACCGGTACGATGGGGTTACAGTAATCTTGCTCATGTTACAATAGTGGCACCACACTATAAGTTAATGAATAATATCATGTATACGTATTAGAATAATTAGAATATTAGAATAACTGCACGCGAAAATGTTGTCAGTGATTACGTTAAAGCGCCATCAAGTGGCGAATAGAAAAATTAGTAAAATAACTCAACTTCCGTTCTCCTCTTTTAAATTTATATTCGCCTAAGCAATATTAACAGTACTCTTTCGTCATTCTTATTCTCATTGATTCACTTACTTCCAATGAATCGCACGGTTTCTTATAGAAAAATAAATTTTTGCTACTGGTAGCTGGTGTTATTTTATATAAAAGATTTATTATCACTGAAAACGATGTAAAATATCGTTCGCTTGACGTCTCTGGGTTAGCGGGTTGACGTCGAATAAAATGAAGACTTACACGCGATCATGCTACGTGTACACGGTTGATACGTGCACAGAGAGTGATTGTCAGAAGTGACATAGCGCGGGGGAGTAAATCACGTCGGCATTAAGACAATTAGGCGGAGAACTCGACGGGCCGAACAGCATCGGTCGACGGTGTCTTGGACAAAAATATGTGTTTGTATCATTATATTTGTTTCATTCTGTATTTACTACAAGAAACACATGAATGGACAAACACTTTTTTACCTGTTGTATGATAGATTTTTACTTGTCAATGAGAGTGCTTGCTTAAGACTGAACTATCAGTACAGATTTGATGTAGAAGAGATTTTTAGTAAAGATTTTAGTAACATGAAAACTTGACTGTAGTTTAATCAAGTTTTTCTTTTACCTTTAATCCAATACAATTTTTAATAGGGAAAATAGATTTTTGTTGAACTACTGAATTGATGAACTATATAGTTTGTAAAACTGTGAATTTGCAAACGTCCGTTTTTAGTGATTATATTTATGTGGCAAAATGCTATCGGCGACCATGTGTACGATATGATCGAAAGCGTGTCTGTCTCTGCGCAAAAGTCCCTGGTGTGGTCGTGCAATTGTGCGAAGGAAATGAGATCAAGTTTGAGTGATTGCGGACAGCAGTTGGTGAGAGGTGGAGGGCAGCAGGGAATGTAGATAGGACAGTTCAAGAACCGAATCTACAGATCAGTTAACTGGATATACTGGAGCGGACTGAATGCTTTAATAAAACTAAAAAGTGAAAATTATGAAATCTGAAAGAGTCACATTAATTATTACATATCTGGGGAATTCTTGGCGACACTGCGAAATCATTGCAACGTCAATTAAGATTGCTTTCAAAAATAAACATTTATTTCAAAATTAATGCTTACCAGCTGTATCCTAAAAACTAAGATCTATCCTATACACCGACTGTGTTTAGGTGTTATTCTTAAGATCTCTTAAGACTTCATTGCATTATTAAGTTGTGTACAACTGTTTCTTACTTTTTGTTTTCTGTATAGTACCGTAATAGCTTCCGCAGCAAAATTCAAACGTTTTTCTGATTTACATCACCACACGATCACCTTGCACACATATGTTACATTCAAATGACAGTTACCAGAATGCATTCTGTATGGTATCTAATGATTCAACACTTGAAGTCATGCTCACAAACTGGTTCACGTACTATTTAATTTTTTTTTTCTTATCACCGAACTGAACTCTCGGACCAAATCTCACTCTTCTATATCTTGATAAAGTTTAAAATGATAGTACCGCTAAAGTGGTGATATCACAATTATGGTTCGGAGTATGTACTGTCTGGCCCGTCTGACGGGAAAGAAAGGAAAATAACGCGACACAGACCTAGACAGCATCTTTTGCAGATTGTACCAGTTCTCCAAACGAGGTTTCCAAGCATTGTCGTAATTCTGCGTAACTTACTACTAACACACTTTGTTCATCTCGTGACATTAAACATATCTAGAAATTTATGAAGATAGGATTGAATGAAATCGATCGTTAATATATTTTCAATGTACATGCACACGAACGGTTGCCAAATGTGATTAAGAAAAGAAACACATACCCTATCCTGAGAACCTGAATCCAACTTATTTAAACAAGATACAACATGTGCCATATCTAACCACGGTCTTCCATCAGCCGCTACCTGGTGGAAAACATAATCCCTAAACAATTTGAGCATGTATCGGTCACCCGTCTCTGCCCATGTGGGTTCCATGTTAAGTTCAGGCCTTTCGTTGATAGTGGCCAATTTTACAAGTAACTTAAATAATCGGCCGTTCTCTAGCTCCTTGGCAAGCTCATTTTCAAGCACGTCAGATCGAAGCAGGGCTGCGTCTAACTGCGTATAAAATCGAGCTCCTATCATTGGCATCAGATCTGTTACACTCCTTCGTGCTTGATTCGAAAGTAAATACCTGAAAAATTGGAATTCCATATAAACATATGCGATGTGTGTAGCTGTGATTTGGATTGTAAAAGGAATAAACAAAACGTGTACGAACAGAATGAGATTTCGAAGATCCGTGGAGTAGGAACGTGCTACGAGCTCGAGAGAGGCCTGCATGTTGTCGCGATGGACGGCAAGGAGGCTGCGACCTGCTAAAGCCAGAACCAGCTTCCCTAGGGCAATTAAATCCTCTTGCTGATAATGTGGAATTAGTGAAAGTGGATTTTCCGCGTTTCCATCGAACGTAACAACATCTGGTATAGCGACACAACTTAAACGAAGTCTTGTTCGTGATGTGAGCAACACTTTTGTGGGGTCCAAACACCTGTATGCTAAACCTATTAAAGAGGACATCAATATATCTTGCTTCATACTTCAATACAAATCGTATAGATAACTATCCACACTGCTTCGCAATAAATCATGGTATTACTAGTAATGATTATGAAACGTACATTAATGAGTAATGGTAATATTGTCCTTTTCTGATAAATAAATAAATATATATTAATCAAATAGTAGAATTTTCGCATAATCACACGCCCTAGCAATAGTAGGATCTATTAAGAAGTTTTTGATGTACAATGAAAATACTTTTAAGTTATACAAACCAGCAGCATGTATAACACGAAGTGCGGCAGTGAGTTGAATTATGTAGCTCCAGATGACACTTTCTGGTAGCATACTGTTGTGTTGCTGCCTGAGAATTGTATTTTTAGTATGACTATATGGTCGGGGAGCGTTCGGATCCGAGGAAAATGGATCCGTGTAACCGTTCAATTCAGTCGCTGAGAAATGCTTATTTAATAGCGTTTCTGAGCCAGGGTGATAGTCATAAACGAATACCATGGCTGAAATAACAAAATCGTTTTATAAAGGTACATTGTAATAAATCAATGGTTTAATAAAGGTACAAACAATGATCGCCAAAGGCCTTGGTGGTAAACACTTCTCTCAATTGTACCAAATTGGTATGTGATAATCGCTTCCACATATCTACCAGAACCATACATTTTGTGTTTGCAAGTCTGAAATCTAACAAGAAGTGAAACGCTTACCTCAATATCGTTTATTAAACTTTTTCTCTTTAATCATCTTGTGTAGGAAGTCGAAGATACTCACCATGTATACGACGTAAACAATATCGTGTACCACTTTTAATGCTGGTAGCTTTGTACGTTGAAGTTTGGTATCCAAGCATTATCGACGCAGGTTTATGAATTGGTTCAAGTGGGCACAACTCATGGTAATTATCTACTTCGTTTGGTAGGTCCGGGAACCGTACTACATCAGGTTGTGCTAACGTTAGTGCATTTTTTTGAAGAATGTCTATTCGTAAGCTCTCACTGACAAAGAAAGTCGGTGTTGCTTGAGGAGGTGGAGTTGAAGGAGCAGAGGAGCTATTAGACGACGGAGGTTTAGCCGGTTTCACAGGCTGAAGGTGTGAAGGTGTACCTGGATAGACGTAGCCTACCTGACCCGCTCCCACGTTTCCAATCTGCCAATATGAATTATCATTACGTCATTGAAGAATAAACATTGAAGATTTGTTCATTTTCATGTTTCCTTACAGTTTCAGTACCGTCCTCAGCTCCAACGGTGTCAGTCGCAGCATTCCCAAGATAAAAATAAGTAGTACCGCCCACATTCTCTTGAGAATGATAAGAATTATTAAAAAGATTCGGTGAACTGCTGTTGCTACTAGTAAGACTCCTTCCTGGCACAAATTCTGGACTCGCAGTTACTTTTTTCTGTGAATCCAGAGAAAGGTTCGACAAATGTTTTGTAACGGCGGTGGTACTTAGAGTTACCGCTGGACTTTGACGATTCTATTAAAAAGTACAGATAATAAGGAAACCGTGTATGTGCGTGTACTTGATGAATATGGTAGGGAAATCGAAATGTCATAAATAAGGCAAACTCATAAATAAAAGTAAATTTTGATCAGTTCTTAAGCGATCTGAAAAGTGATACGCTCTTTCTGAACATACAAAACCTACTTCTATCCATTAACTCACCAAATTTAAGACTTCATTATTTCTCTACTGTTTTATGAATATGTGTATGTATGTCAAAATTGTTTAATCCACTTTGAATATTATTTAAGACTACATCTAAGTAGACAATATGAAGATGGAAGCTTTTACTAAGGCTTGACTCTCCTCAAATAAATTGCAGATGAGTGTACACTACCATGTAGGTAGCAAGCTTGGACTCCAGTGGAACGCCGTTTGTTTGAGGGGTGTATGTAACAAATATTGGTGGGTCCATCTCTCCTTCAACCACTGCATTTACTGCTATCACACTGAACCCTCACTTCTACTGTTTTTATTTTTCTCCCAGCTAGAAAACCCTTTGCACCTGTCTCTTTCAATCCTGATTTACAATTGTGTTTTTAACCACCACTCTTTGTTACTCCTATTATATAGATGCACCACGTGACAATCTCCAGACCCTGCAACATATCTTACAAATACATCAATAAAGATCTTCCATAGTATATTATCAGATATTATAATGTAACTACTGTATTCCAAAATAAAAGTACAACATATATACATAATTTGTAACTCTAAATAAATGGTTTCTTTTATCTTTTATTCACTAGTACTATTGATCTAATATTGCAAGAATACATATTGGATGTTAATAGTTGTAATGAAATCTATTCAGAATTTCAATAATCGTATACATGGTGTCCCAAATATATGCTAAATATTTTAAGGGATGATAGAGTAGTTCAAATGAAACAAAAAGTGTCTTATGATATCCATTTTGTAGTAACAATGCGTCAAAGTCTTGATACATCTTGTTTTCAAACAACGCTTTAAAAATAAGATAGCACTAGTATAATTGCCTTTATGGAAGTAAATGTTGCACTGCAGGACAAGCCACTTATCACAAACTGATTTTCTATAACTGCTACATAAAGAACCTGATAAGTAACCTTACCTATTTACTACAGTTGCAGATGCACTATCCATGAGAATCTTAAGGTGCTCCAAAACACACATACTTCCTGAAACAGCTGAAATGTCTAGGCCTATGACCTACTTGAATGTGTTTGTTTCGCTAATCTGTACAAGCTATGTCTCAAAATTCTACTGCGAATTTTAGGACACTATTATTGCAAAATGAAAGTAGATCAGAAATAATGTCACACAACACTTTTTTATCCATTTAAGCTTCCCTACCACCCCACAACATATTTCACATACATCTGAGACACCCTGTATAATCTGAAAAAAATATATGTCTGTCATTGTAAAACAAATACTATTATAATTAATTAAAATAATACAATTGAAATATTATCAATGATTTGTTTTACAATTTTAAGAAATCCAGTTGTTATTTAAACACTAACCAACAGATGAGCAGAGTACTTAGATATAAAACATTCGTAAAATCATATGAATCGTTCGATACTATTTAGTTCACGTAAAATTGAATCTACATATTACGGTAGTCAGAAAACGAACGAAAAATTGAATAAAACGTACCGCTTGTTCTGAACGAAGGGAAGAACTCAACACGTATGGCTCTATAAACAGCAAAGATAACAAGAACCGTCGATTCTGAATGAAATATCGGGAACGACGGGTATAGGTTTAGTGAAAAAAAGGACGCAAAAACGGTCGGAAATACATAAAAACTGAAACGGGCAAGTAGAATCGCATGATATAGCAATGGCAGCTGATTTTGACAATACAGCGAAAAAGACGCACAGGATATAACCTTGGCTACACGTTACTAGCGACGGGAATGCGTCCACCGTAACCGCGAATTCGACAAATATATTCGTACCAAAAGATTAAGAGAGAAAAAACCAATTAAAATACAAGAACGTACACGATGAAAGACGCACGAAGAGTACGCTGCGTTAACATAACCATTTACGCTGTCAGTGATGTCGCGTTGGTGCACGGCGCCAAAATTCCGATCACCACAAAACGTTCCCGATACGGCACTAAATAATCGCGTGAACCAAAAAAAACAACAATTAGAATGGCGATTCTGATAAACAGTCTGACCGTATTATAACATGTTTCCATCCAGCGGACAAAGGAGAAAGCAGAACCAATCCGATCTTGTATGTTTATGGTGTTCTCCCTTTGCCTCGGCCTCGTATTTTTCTCTTTCTCCCTCTCTCCCTTCCGCCCTCCTATTCATGTCCTTCGATCGAAGCAGCTGTCTCTCGACCGCGACTTGTCTCCGGGCGCACGAGACGCGAAGCTGTATATTTACCTTTCATACGCGCCACAAACTATACTGACGATCAAAATATAGTTGTTTATCCCATTCCAACAACCCGTAATCACCAACTAAATTGAGAACTGGTGAGAACTCCTTCTTATACCGTGATATTCAATGGTATAATATTGATGGTCAAACACACATTCCCCTCGATAACAGTTCTGTTTGTAGGCTGGTAATGAATTGCTATCGTAGTAGGGAATACGTTTCTGAAATCGGTATATTCCGAAATAATGTTACACGATAGTAAAACTAACACGCTACAAATACGCACATAGTCAGAATGGCTGTACATAAATGAGCAGAGTTTGATCATGTTACTACTGAGTCTTTTTTCTCACTCTCTCCTTTGACAATTCAAGCGTGGAAAATAGTGGAGGTACCAGCAGACTATTAACGCAGAGGATAACGAACCGAGTTGCTATCGAAACCCTATTGTACATAAATACTTGGAGGCAACGATATAGCGAGACAGTAAACTCAACGTGGTCATAGAGGTCTGATAATCATCAAAGGGTATCATAACAGTAAGGAGCTGATATTCTGGCAGTGTTATGCAAAACAAAAGAAACTCCTGCTTATGGCCCCACTTGCTTTCACTGGAGTTGCTACCCCACTATTTCGTTACCTTTATTTATACAATGTATATACTCACAAAGTGCGACGCGCTTAGTTTAGGTATTCAACTTGCGTAATAACATTGTAGAATTATACATCTTCTTTTAACAGTTTTCTTGTCTTAATAATTCGTATGCTGTGTTATAAATAACATAGCAAGTAGAAAGTTTACACAAAAATTTGCGAGGATCCACAGACGTTCTGTCTTTTTTGATTGATCCACCGAATTGCGTTCTTATTTTTACAATTGTGTTGGCAACAGTGGACAATACGAAATCACTTCATATTGTATAGGGTGTATTCTGATCGTTCAGTTTGTGATGCATGGTGATTCGAAAGATTGAGACGATTTAGATTTCCCTAACAGAGGATTCAAACTTGATTAGTTGAATCTGGTTGAACGTTATCACAAATATTAATGTGTGTAACGATACACGTGTCAGCAATTTTTTAATTTTAAAAAATCATTCCATTTAATAAAATTTGTAACGATGATCATACCTGTACGCTGCTTTACTTGTGGAAAAGTTATTGGCAACAAGTGGGAGGCTTATCTTGGTTTACTACAAGCGGAATACACAGAAGGGTAATTGTTATTATTGTCATATTGATATAAGATAAATGAATAAAGCATAACGTTAACTTACTCAGTCAAACAACCTAACCTTACTTCCCATTTGGTTCGATTGTTATTCAAAAAGAGAAGCGAGACTGGTCGATCCCGCTTTTTGTAGATATCGATGATGTTTGAACTAATAAATTACTATTGAAATTAATTATATGTTTAGTAGACAAAATAACTTTTAATTATTGCGTACTACCCCCGACGTGATTGCAGTTTAGAATCACCCTGTATTGCATAATCATTTGTTGTATTCACATGTAGGTTTGTGTGTTACAGAGATGCTCTTGATGCACTAGGATTAAAGAGATACTGCTGCCGCAGAATGCTTCTTGGCCATGTGGATTTGATTGAAAAACTCTTGAACTATGCACCATTAGAAAAATAAACACTATGTTCAATTGTTCATTCCATATTTTATCTTGTATATTAATGCGTATGTTGTATCATAACTGTATAAGTTAGTTAAAGATCATGATCATGAAGCAGAAAGTAAAAATACATGTATATCAATGTGAAGTGCATTCCCAGTCATAAAGTTTAAATTATTTATATTTCTACAAACTATTGTAGCAGTAGACACATTATACATAAACGGAGAAGGAATAAAATACACAAAATATACTGTAAAATGTTCTGTATTCTATAATTGTTGCATCTTTGTAAGCTTTTACCATGAATGTGTAAAAATTTTCAACAGTTGTATAAAAAAAATTGATCAGTTTACAAAACTTTCTACACAGAAATTGCTTTGAGAGAACATTCTGTGTTTTTCATTTGAAAATATCTATTCATAGTAAATGCAACATAAAAGAGTGAAACATTTTGTACAGTGCATGTCTATTGCATGTACTAGACGTACATTTAGAGTTGTGTACATATAGGTTTTTCATACAAAAGTTTCACACATTACAATATTACTTTCATACAAACCAATAATTTATTTAGTTAAATTAAAAAGGAGGCGGTGGAAGGTTATACTTCAAGATAAAATCGATTCTTTTTATACAAGATATTTGTATATATTCCTAACAGCTTTAAATGAAAAAATTAAAGTGAAAAATATAAGTTTGTGTTTTTCCTACATGCAATAATTTTCAATGTTAAATTAACCATTTTAAAAGGTGAGAAGTCCTGTTATCCTCTTATGCTTTTTTCGAATGTTAATCATGTACTGTTATGATGTAAAATATTTTGTGTAACTTCAATACTGCCAATAGCTCTCAGTCTGCATTTATCACACATTAAATAAAAAGTACCACACAACTTTTAGGAACATAATAAAACGTTACTAACACTTAAAAATCTATTACCTACTTGATATACTCATAATAATTCGTAATACAAAAACCCTTTCATATAACCTCCACAGACACTACTTTAGAAATCATTTGTGCGTCGGTATGTTTCGAATCATAATCTACCGAATATCATCACTCCAGCTCTTCTTTATATGGCAACCAAAGTAATCTTTGCTATTATAACAAATAGTTTTTTGTATCTTACTAGAGCACTTTTTGTAGGCACATAAATAGCAATGAAATTTCTGATATGAATTTAATATTACCTACGTGGTTCCGTTTATTATTGCGCTTGGAACAACATGTTGTTCATGATTGTCTTTTTAAAATATTAAAAATATCAGAAATTCATTGCGTAAAAATCGTGTGTCTTCCAAACATCTCTAGTTTGGAATTATGGAATATGTACAAATCTATGTATGAAAACACTTTCTTTTAACTATATAACGCCACAATTTGTATTAATGCGCTACGAGATCCGAACACTAAAGCCATGAGACCAATAATGCATATGACGATGTTCTTCCATGCCACCCAATTGCCTGGGCCAAAACCAACATCCCAGTACGTCACAGTTTCGATAAAGACGGGAATCAAAAGTCCCAATATGGAAAAGCAAAATGCACCGATTAACCCAATAAAGGGTGCGATAGTCGGTACGACCACAGCCAATAGAACTGTAACATTAATATAATTTCGTTAATTTCTACTATCAAATGAAAGTGTTATTGGGGGTAATGACAGAGTGAGACAGTAAAACCAATGGACACTAAACAGAAAAATGTGGGGCTACTGAAGTTGATCAATATGATTAAAAAGTTCAAAGTGTACCTGCTCCTGTAACCATCACTGTCCTCAAAACATAATTTGCCAGAAGTGGCTTCTTTTGGAACCTGTCCTTTATACCATTCCACGCAATATCAAGGCACACATAAAACTGTAGACCAAACGTGCAGTAGACAGCAAGGGCTATTAAAATCTTCACAATCTGGGCTGGTCTGGAAAGGCATAGTTAAAAATTTGAGATTATCATTATTTAAACATTCAAATAATAAATAGACTATAAATTATTCGTAATAAACAAATTGTTTATAAAAAAAAATACTAAATGTGGTTTAGTGTTAATTTTCGATTCCTTTTTGTTCACGAACTGCAACTTACATTTCTTCAGTTGGTAAATTCAATGTGATGCTGTCCAAAGTGGCATCCTGATATTTCGCGTAGCCCAAAAATCCAAGTAAAATGTATATAAGCGTAACTCCCGACATTCCCTTGTTGAGAACACCACAGATACCAACTATGTGCTGTGGTGTTTTCATATTATTTTCCAACGGCATTACAACACCTGGAATATTATTCATTCAATAATGTACCTATACTGATGCTTAAATATTCAATGTCAAATACTAAGTACCTATAGCTTCCATTGCAAAAATGGTTATGCTGAAGAATTGCGGGAAACCTTCGATAGACGCAAATAAAGGCACGGATGTGATAGGTGGGAGATCCCATACTAAGTAATAAAATGTTATTCCTAAACCTGTTCCCATAAATATATTAGCTATCATAGAAACAGGCGCGAGGTACTTCAAGTTTGGTATCCAACTGAGTAATATCATAGGGATGAGCAGACAGGCTGTTGTCAGTCTGATACTAAACTCGCCTTCTGCCACATTTGTGTAATGCTCAATGATTTGGTTGAAGTTTGCTGCAACTATGACTGTGTACACACTGCAGGTACCAAAGTACGTTGCAAATAAACTAATTTGAATTAGGTACCTGTGGACAATATATCACATAATATTATTTTGCCACAGATAGCATGTGACTCTTCTAGATATGTATGACCGTGTACACATGCAGGCATGCTTATCACATTACCTAATTGGTTTAGAAAATTTTTTCCCCCATTCTGGGCCCGTAGAAAATGCTACTTCTGCTACATCGGCGAAGCTCATCTCTGTTCGCCGCGTTTTATAATAAAGAACGTGCGCGCATTTTACCTAAAAACAAAAATAACCAATTAAATTTACAATACCATTTATTGTTTCGTTATTTCACTTGTTGTAATTGTTGATCTAATTTTTATTTACCAAAATATACGCGCAATGTGTGCAAACAAATGCCACGAGAATCGTTGCAAATACACCGACAAGGAGACCAGAATGCATGAAAGCAATCGGCATGGATAAAATACCAGTGCCGAGCGACGCTTTTAGTAAATGCGTTAATGTGTCACAGTCCCTGGATAAAAAACAAGATAAGGCTATAATTAACAATTATCCCTTAACATGTAGGAGTAGATATGAATATCTATACTTGTCAGGAATGAAACCGAGAGTTTATTTCAATCCAAATCGTAACGGTAACATGAATAAAGACAGTGAACATCGCTCAAATTAAGTAGGCAATCATTGTGAATGCTACACTGCAAGGTCTTTACGTGTTCCATAAGAATATTGTTTCAACCATTGTTTTTCAGTATACAGTGTATGTGATGTCTATAATATAAATGAATGTATAATGCACACAGTACATGTAACAAGACTTTAAATATGTTGCCCGTAAGACAAATAAGTGTATAATATAAATGTACTTATATATATTGTACATATTTGATATTGAAAAACGTAGAATCTGTAAAATATGTGTGTTCATCGACTACGCTTTGCGGATCCATTTGTTGAATATCTTTATTAATTATTACTTACGTTGTTGGATTATCGACTATTCGTTCACTGAAAGGATCGAACGTTTTTCCGTCCTCTTGTCCAGCCTCCGCATCTCGCGGAGCTACTTGTACTTTGTATCTACAAAGAACAAAAATCATTATCATAACGACACTTGTTGTGCTGCGTTGCTGATGCAACTATCCAAGTAATAGTTCTGTTTCAAGAAGTGTTAGACAATCAATGTTTGTTTCATCGCTATTGGGCAAAGTTAATTTTTACGATAATAGGATAAACATGAACAAAATGTTGGGACTGAAATTCAACTGTTCTTCAAAACTATCCTGCAACGACGACATTGATAGGACTCACTTGGTTAGCACGCCGTCTTTCACGTTGGACCCATCTTGGGGCAGAAAAGTTTCCAATTCTGTTGGTGCTTTGTTATCCTAGAATAAAAAACAAACATTACACCAAGTACTTATTGACAATAGATTGTTTGTAACTAATTATATTAATTTCCATCGAAACATACCATTTTGAAGCTTGTATATCCTTCCGTGGCCAAAATAAGTTATCTGCAACGAGAAAATTTAAAACTAATGTATTTTCACTAAAATAGAAGGCTAGGGATTAATGTTAATAAATTATAAACACATTAAGGAACGATAAAATTGATCATACTAATAATCGTTAAACAGTATTTTTATTTAGAAAAAGTAGTATACGAATGCTGATGTAAAAAAAAAAAATCAATCCAATATTGACATTATATAAAATGCGAAAAAATTCAGTTTCAACTGGTTCGACGAAATTATCATTCATACGTTGATTCGAGTTATGTTATCATTGATTCCCCTCGATAGTAGTACGATTGATTGACGAAAATTATGCGCGTAAACAAATATAAAAATTGTTTACAGCATCATTACGTAAAGTTATTATTCACGTTTAATTTGACGAAGGCATTGCTTGAAAAATATTGAATCTACGCGGTTAATATTTTTCATTTCTGGTTTTGACGTTTTAAAAAAACGGTGACAACGGCAAGACCGTCATATTATAACAAGAACAATACCAGTGTACGATAAAAAATACCAAACCACGATATTAGTCGATAATTTGTGCATAATCTATCATCAGTCGCGATAACCCTTTCGCATTCGTTATGTAAAAATGATACTAATTTTGACTTCAAGATTCCGTCGACCTTGCAAACTGTGATTCGAGGCGCATTGATGACACACCAGGAAATGCTACACGACTACAAACAGAAACAGAAAAATTAACATAATTGTACAAACGGTTGTTCTATTAATAAATGTTCACACTGCAGTGTAAAACAGATGAACATGAAAGCATATCAACGGACACTAAAATTTAAAAGACTCATTGTTGTAAACTAGCGATACCGGCAGTTAATTTATTATTTATTTTTAACCCTTAACTGATATGGTGGGTGCCTGGAGTACCCCCAACAGTATAAAAATTGTCATAATTTTGCTCTCAAATCACAGATGACACTAAATGTCTCAGCAGTCTTTCGTTAGATAAAGCCTTACAATTTGTCCAGTATACGTGTTGGACTAATTACACTCAATTACACTTCGGATAACCCACCAGAGTTAACGCATGTGTATTTCACCGTAGCGGTTATAGGGGCCACTTACCGATAGTGTTAATTTGATTGAATATTATCGTTTAATAGCCTTTGAGAACCAACTAAGTTAACTGTAATTGATGTCTTAAAGATTAGCAGATGCAACATAAAAAATTTTACTGAACTTTCTACCTCTCGCCTATATGGGATTAATAGAATAATTAAACGACGTTGAGTTCAAGTTATATTCTTGAATTTTTAAAAAAACTTTTTATCCCGGTAATTTTTTTTGGTTTTGTTCATCAAAAAACAAATCATTAATTACATTATTATTATTACATCTTTATTATATATCATGAACATATGCAAACATAAAATATGATTATAAAACAAACAATTTTCAGCACAAGTGTGTGCTGCTCCGAACGGTAATACGGCTTGATTTAATACGTTTGTAAAGATACAGGTAAATCTCATATCAGTTCCTCATGAAAACGCAGATTACGGTGATAAGTAAAGACATATCGTAACAGCAGCACTAAACCGTTTGTTGGGTGTGATTAATCGGTGGCGCTTAATGTAATCCACAGACTATTGCCGTGGGAGTAGCGCGTGTGTAATGTAAATATGCCTTAATACAAGATGTTACACGTGCAACAGAGTAGTAATGAATTCTGCAGCGTGATGATTCACGTAACTTTTAACAATTTTAAATTATATGGAAAACTGTTCGCCTATAATGAAATGTGTGCAATGAAAGGTCATTTTGAGTAGTTTTTACCCTGGATATATTTTATAAGGATCAAAAAGACTACCAAACAATGAATTTAAAAAGCATAATCATAAGCAGTCGGTAAAGTGTGATGCCAAATGTATCTCTGAAATCACGCCCAAAGAAAAAATGAATCGCAGGGTTACGAAGACCTGACAGATGTGAATAAGATCACGTTTACTATAGGCTGTGTTAACTCTATTGCATGCAGTTCATCCACTCTGCTCCCGATGTCTTTCATGAGTCGCGACCTCAACCTCTGAGATCGCATTTACTTGCGACTCATGAACAGGCAGCCGCTACGCATTATACTGTAAGAAAAAGTCACCAGACTAAATACATCAAACGTATCTAGATCTCTGCACTTGTTCAAACTATACACGAACTACGTAATCAATGACGTAAATGGTTTCTTAAAAATACCATTGGAGGTCACCGTGACAGAGTAAATAACAGCAGACTAAAAAAAAATGAGAAATAAATGTTTTAAGTCTTTTTAAAAAAAAAATCCCTCTGATAAATCGTCGTTCGTTTATTACCAATATGCATGATGAAAGAGTCTTTGTTCCTTATTACTATTCTTATACGCAATCCCCTTGTTCTCATCAGACAAAAAGTTATTGTTTGAACGCATCTTTCATGAACATACAGGAAATCATGATATTCGAATATGCCTGCTTTCTTATCTTTCTTAATAACACTCACTCTCCCCTCAATATGTGTACATTCGAATCTAAGCCTTACAATCTTTAAAATCAACGACCTTAAAATTAAAATTAATTTATCATGTTCAAACCACGGCGTTTAAATCCATCTATTCTATTTACCGACTTTCTATAGTTATAATTAGGTGGCCTCTGGATTCTGATGACTCATCGTAGGATTACGGAAAATTCTGAAATATCGAACGGCAGTTTGGTTAAATTTAGGAACATATTTTAATCGCGTGTAATTACTTTTTTACGCTCCATAAGTAAACTGAGTTGTTTGTGTCCAAGCCGACTTTTTTTCACTGTTTCAGGCTTTTAAAAAATCTAAAAGAATTATAGCATACTTATCGAAATCTCGACCACATTGTAAAATCGTTCGTTAAGTTAAATATTAAAAACATTTTGTCTATAAAAATCAAAATTTGTAATTCCAGGAAAAGTAAAATTTCGCTTGGGTCGTCGACGACCCACATTGCCCACGTAGAGTCAAAAATTCAATGTTCAAAACGTGATAGACTAACCTTGGGAGTATTCGTCATTGTTATAGTATTTCTCGCAATCAAAGTGAAGGAAAACAGAAAAGAAATTCAAAGCAAAAAAGGGGTATTGGTTAGTTTGACGTGCATCTATCGGTGTTGGTCGTAACTCCGGACATTGTCCTCAAAAATATAGAACGGTTGGCAATCACATACGGGATGGCCTAATGGACACGCGTTGCCGAGTCTAAAAATAAACGACCGTGTGACTCTTCACGTTATCTTGGCCCAATAGTTTTCCACGATTATGGAAAATATTGATTAACTTTGGTGTTTCACGTGTAATAGACGACGGTTTAACTTCAATCTATAAATTATACAGTATTTCCAATATAGTATTAGAATGATTAATTAACGAAAACAATAAAATTTCATACACCTATTTCGTAGCCGTCACAACGATTGATTTGTGGATCACGTTTGTAAGTAATTGGTCTCTGATGTCGATTAGCGATCGCGTGTGAATTCAATAAATCGTAACGAGTGATTTACATGTCATTGCCTGTCATAATGGTAAATTGAAATCTCGTGTAATAGTCGATCTTTCATGGTTAAGGTGGAGATATACGAAACCAGTAAAACTACTTTGAGTCACGCGGCGTGTCTAGTTAAATTGTAAGTATATAACGCGAATTACATGCATTCATCTTGCAAAACGGTTCATGCGTCAGTAGCGTTTTACTGTATGAGCTACGGGCCCGCAGTCATATTTACATTTATGTTTCGAAATTGCTCGTTACCGGCGTATTTCGTCGAAACACTTGTACACCGCAAGGAATACACAATTTGCAGCACACAGTGTTAACCCTGAGACATTGGAGGCCAAGACAACTTATTTAGTATGTTAGGAATATGTGCTTTATATAACATTTCTGCTCATTAGACTGCAAATATAAATACTGAAAGTAAATATCACCGAAATTCTTACGAATCACCGTCTCCGAAATTCCGTGCGCACGTGTAACTGACGCGAGTAAAAAATCACGTTGGCTTCGACCGATAAAAGCTTCGCGTTAACTGCTTCTTAACTTTCACTTCGTGTTATATTTTGTAATATTACATCATATCGAAAGATCAGTGTTTCGTAGGAACAGTGTAATAACAATAATTTCGAATATTTATCCCGTGCAAACAGTTAAGATAATTCTATGCTACTTGCTAATTTCGACCTGATTTCGTCGGTTATATACTCGCGAGTGATGAGATTCGGAGTGACTGAAATCGTTTGTACACAGCGCGTAATCCGACACCCGAGACGTTGATTTGTTTTGCCGGCAACGGGCAAACCGTAGTGATGTCTCGCCCGATGCATCGTCGATACACGTTGCCCAGGGTCAAGGTAACAATTGTATCGAAACAAACAGCTCATATCAAATGGAAATGTGTAACCGTTTGAAATTCCTGTATTAATTATCACGTGCGATTAGGTTGCCCCGTGAGTGAAGTAGTGCGGCGGAGGCCAACTTTATCTTCGTTGGAAACACGCCCAAACGTATCCCTCCCGACTAATCGAATCAAACAAAGATTTACGTTACTTTCCACTCTTTCGTGTTTCTCGATACAATGCGCAGCAACCAACCATCGAACATTATGTTTTTTTTTTTCTCTTCGACGTTAGATGGTAATACGTTAACGCTATTAACTGCCAAGGTTGACCGCAGTTAAGGAAAGGTTAATTCTAAAAGTTGAACGACCTAATTTTCAACGATCCCGCTAATTGTCGCCGTAACTAGGATAGATTAAAGATTAATTAATTTCAATGTGAATTACGAAGAATCGTCGGCACGGTCATTATATGATATAGTTCGTTTTATCTAATTTACGGCAATGGCGGCGCACGTATCGCCTCTGAAAGGAAAAATTTAGGAACAGCAGCTCTCTCGCATTCTTAGATCGCTCGTGTCGTCTGATCTAACAAAGAACGAACCAGCCGTAATTACGCAATGTTCGTGTTTATTGTCTTTTATATATATGTGAAACAGGTGTGTAATTTCCATTTGAAAACTGCTCTGGCACGCCGATCACATCATAATGACGGGTTTTCTACCACGCACGGATGGCAACAAATTACCGCCTTTGATTTTATTTTAAATATTTCCTCGACCGTTGTATCGTGTCGGCCTAAATGGTAATCAAGCACAGCGACTTTAATGATACGTTCCACGTTTCGCGCGTTTGCAATACAATCCCGCCTCTTAAGTGTCGCTCAAATGAAATAATATCGTTAAAGTCCAATTACACCAGATTCGAATCCAACCGCGCGAAACGTTTCATTATACATCGGAATGAACTTCTGTGATTTTAACCTTTTCAATCACTTTGGTTAACTATTTTCTTTTATATTTCCAGTATGGAATTATCCTTTTTATTTAGTAGGTTAATAGAATGTTTCGTTTCTTTATACTATTTAGTTTATTTCACGATTTTCCAAACACCCAGTACATGTCGTGTTTCATAATATTCATTAATACAATCTTACAATCTCTTGCAAGTTTATAATTTCAAAGAACTGCTCTCTGTTGGGAATTCCAACAGTGTATTGCACCGTAACTGCAAGGAATAATAATTTGTTTTGAATTTAGTTACCGTGCGTCGAGTATGATAATGACACCGTATTATTCGATAATGGCGCCTCTCCAGACATTTTCAAACGACGTCTCGATCGTGTTCCAACAATTATCGGAAATAACGCGTAGTCCAAGTTGCTGCGAAGTCATGCCGATTACTCCACGTTATAAGTGAAACTGTAACCTTTTATCTTTATAGCGTGTACATTGGATACAGTAGAAATAAAGTCAGTAGATTTTGCTACCTTTCGTATCTTCTTTCTGCCATTGCTGTATATAAGTACTATATAAGTAGTATTATATACTAGTATATACATAAGTGCTGATAAGCGAACATTTATCACACTCGTAATCGTGACGGAAAAGATGAAATTTTGTAACAATCAGTTGATTTTGTGTTTTATGATTTTATCGTAAAGTACAAGAAAGTCTTTTTAATTTACCAAAAGTCACGCAACGGCATTGACTGCTTCTATTTTCTTAAATCATTTTTCCCGCGATCGTTCTGTATCATTGTCGTTTGATAACACTATTCAATTTCCTAGAAATTGTATGCACGTACAATGTACAACCTGTAGGATGTTGATAAACGCTGAATTGGCAACTCTATTCCTGGACGACAACAAACTGACTAATCCGAATGACTGGCATCTTTCGTTTCGTGTAGTCACTGTACAAATAAACTGTTTTCTATTAATGGCTGCACGGTTTAATGCATGAATCGATAAGCAAGAAGATGGTCTATGGTTGCCCAACCTTCCATCGACGTATTCTTAATAACACACGCAGACTAGAGTAATTGTTGATTTTCCAAACGACATTTTTTCAAATAGACATACACGTGATGTTTGATCAATGTTGTTAAACACGTTTCAAAAGTAGGTCACCTCAGAAATAAGTTTTGTAGTTCGTTGCCGCGCGTGTAGATGTCAAGGTTCGTGATATGTACGACCGATTCCGGAGTAACTGTTTTCGAAGAAAAAGAAAAAAAAAATTGAAAAGTCCAAGTGAATGAAATTAATGATATTCATATCTCAGATTAGCTTTATCTTATTGAGGACTTTCGCTATCTACTTGATAATTCGTACGAAAATTGTTTAAATTATGGTAGGTTAGATTTGAATAACGTTCAGTCGACTCTATATACACTCAATGTGTATAATAAAGATAGTAGAAATTTTGTACGTTATAAACTTTAAGTCGATGACATTCAAATGATAATTGTAAATATACTTCAACGTGATGACGTCGTGTTTAATTATTATAAATGTTAATTACATACGATTCGCATAAATAATTTCACCCATACGCATTATTCCGTTATGAGAATACGTAATAAGGAAAGTCAATCTGCCTACAGTTATATGCGATAACGTTGCAGCGAGTGCAAGGTCAATGAAATTATTCATGCCGTGTGGAGATGCTTGGATAGTTTCGCCAGCGACCACCTTGTGTCAACCGGTTTTGCTCCAAGTTCAAGGTGTTCGGTTACAATATTTATTTATACACCCTTTACGATTACTTTGTAATTTCGAATAATCACTTTTGGATACTTATCACAGAAAAAAAAGTTATGACTCGTCGCGTTAAAGTATTTCAGATTTACTTATTGTAGTCTAGACAACAATAGCAGTTATTCATTTTAGTTCACACAAGTCGGGTGGTCACGTGATCTATCCAATCTCGATCAAACCCTTCTACGCTGCCTAAACTGGATTGAGGCAGGTTCCTTGAATTCCAAGAAATAGTCCCTTTGGATGCAGTCACTAACTAACTTGACAATGCTACTATGATAATTTAAAAGTAAATGTACACTCTTCAATAATTCTAATTCTTTTTTTTTATTATCTAATCATTCATAAAGAATGAATGTAAAATGCAATGATCATTATACTTATAAATTATAAACGGTACGAAAAATTACGGGCAGTAGTAAATGATAAATCACTAAAATTCCCGTTGTTATTTTTCATTCGAAATCGTTTATTAAATATTCCATTCAAGTAGTTATCACAATTTTTGAAAAATGGTATGTCAAGATCAACGGTTACATTCAGTTCAACCGTTATGTCAATATGATGCAACTTATCGCGTTAGTTTCCTTCATCAATCCTTCCACTCACTAGCTTCCTCTATTGGTCAACCGATAACGCGGGGAAAGAAACGACTTTCAAAAGCGTTACGATACTACATATCACACCCTTCGCTAATTTGCCTGTTGGGATTTATTGAGTTTTATGTTCTCAGGAAACTTCACGTAGTGTACGGTAACAGAAACGTGCCACGCGAACCGTACGACGGATTGAATTAATTATAATGGAAATCGATTTCTGTGTCGCGTGGTGCAACGAACGAATTCACGTGTACGAAGTCTGTCAAGGAGGTTAGTTAAAAGTATAGGCGTTCCATATGCTAAAAAGAAAATTGTGTTAACACCGGTCTGAAAGTTTTTATCTTATGTATGCATTATCGTATTGCATGTTAATATCACCTGATTTTGAACTCCACTAAAACGAATATCCTCATAAGAAACCCTGCGACAATATTTCTCTCAATATTAGGACTGTTGAAAAGAAATCGACTGTTCATGAAAACCCAACGCACGTATGCAGTGTATCTACATTCAGACTTATGGTAAATTCATTTTTTCATATGTTGATACGCGATCTTTTTTTTATTTGGACGCACAGTGCTTATATGTAAAATTTTGACTACTGCACGGGTTCGAAATATCGATGCAAAGTTACATCATGCGATCCTACGCGCGAGGCAACCGCCATCACGAGCCATACAAGTCGCGTCCACTCAAACTTAGCTACACGTGCTCGTCGCGGCGTGATTCTACTGCTGAAACGGACCACGAAACACACAACTCCGGACCCTCGTAAAGGCGGTTCATTGGAATTTCTAGATACACACATCTCTCTCATTATATTGACGTCATATTACAAAAACTTTGAGCAACAGTCACTGAAATATATATTTTTGTATCCGGTTTCTCGTTATTGATTTTTGGTTAGAAACATTTTTAAAATATGGTAAACCATACAAGTCAGTTACAATACTTTCACAACTACCAGCTGCGAAATGGAATTCCCACATAATTATCTATGCTTTTCCTTTCCCCGAAATTTACGTTTACCTCTTCCGTTAACGGTACATGTGTACGTGGGATTTACCGCGAATACCGCTCGAACACAGCTGGTTGACCATGCGCTCAACAGATTCTTAAAATACACTCTGTCCATGCTTGAAATTCAACGGAACGCACAAAGAACAAATTGAATTGTAAATTAGCATAAAAGTGAGGCCACCAAGTAATGTTCTGATTCGTATTCGAAAATACATTTTGTCCTTTCCTTTATGACAACAATATAGCAACAAGTCCCAATAGTGAGCTATCGCATATATTGAACGTCCAGATAATAAATAACTAAAATATTTGTGCAGGCTTTCAAATGTAAATTGTTTAGATAAATTTTGTACAAGTCGTATAACATATTGTGTCATTTTTCCCCTAAATCTGCATGTATTTAACACATCACTACTAATATGCATGTACAATCCTCTGTTGTAACGTAAAATTTACATAATTTTTCTATGCATCCTATTCCTCGAACACTTGCAATAAATACATTTCGCTCGTTTACATTAAATTAACTGTCAAACACCGAACGAGACCAGCTTCTCGTCTATTTTCTAATTAACATTGAGAACGCAGGACTTTAAATAGTGCCAGACGGGGTGGACGTCTAATAATGGATTTCGACTTGTAAATTCGAAATGCACATACCTGTCTCGGCACTCGTGCAGGGTGAAAACGAAAACGTGGTGTGAAATGATGGCTCGCGTCGTCTACCGTTATTTCATCTCTAGCAAACACCGGTGCGCTCGATGTCACAATTGCTCGACGAATTTATGGCAACGTGTCGAACGACACCGTCTCACAAGGCACCGTACGAAATGGCTAGCACGTACCGGCACACCATGCCACGACGACGGACCGAACGAGACTGCCGCAAGGAACCACGCCGTGCAAGAATAAACTGTTTTTGTATTTTCCTTCGATCAATTTCTACAAACAATTCATTGAATAAACTATTAATAAACGAAAAATAATTTCGATATTTTTACTACCAAATGTTACACTTACTTTGTTGCATATTATTATATTGCAAAGTTTTAAATTACGAAGTTTTCGTTCCATGAATCTTGTCAATTTAACGGACTTTACCACTTCCGGTATTTGAAAGGGCGATACAAATGAAGTTTCTTAGAAAAAGTATTGACCAATTTAAAAGATTAAGTCAATTTTCTGAATGAAGTATACATTTCAAAAATTGATTTCGCGTTTTCTTTACATTTTATGAGATATTTCTGTTGAATGATCCGTAAAAGTAAGATGATATATGTCAGTTTAATCAAAAAGTAACTTGATCGGATTTGAACATTCACGTTCATTTCCTGTTTTTTTTTAAATTGGTTTACTTTCCCAACAGAAGTACATTGACTTCGCGGAACTTTATCCGCGTATCTGGTGAATTATCTGAATCAATAGTAATGCGTAGGCGCGGTTTTCGTGCAACCTCATGCGCAGGCTCGGCGAGCACGTGGGCAGGACCGCATGACGAAATTCTGGGGACATTGCAACTACTTACCTACCACATGACGATACGATTCGCGGGCTTGAAATTTTAACCAATTGAATGAACGATCAATGGAGAATTTTACATCACTTTCAATGATATGTAATCATAGTGTACGTCATCGGACTTTAATTCTCCCTGAACTTGTTGAACGCGTAATTATAAGCATTTCTCGTCACTATCGGTGGCGTAAGAAAACGGTATAACATTTTTTATTCACTGTACGTCATTCATCTGTTACAACACACGTTTAATGCTTTTAAGTTTCAAGATTATGACACTGTAGATGTACGTGTAACGCTTTTATTCAGATTTTTAATGGCTTTACTCAAAGCTCATTGAAATTTTAATTCTAATCTGAATTTGCTATATGTACACTAACGTATGCGTTCGAGCATAGCACAGATTCATTTTTAACCGAGCGAGTAATCAACGAAACGTAATTCGATACCATGGAAATCAAACCCCTTTACGATATTTAATACTTGCACAGCGAAGACAGTTTCTTTTATGTGAGATAACCGTAACTTTTTAAAATTCTGATAACCAATGCTTAATATACGAGTGATCGAAAAAGCAAAAACATTATGCAGAAAGACAACAAAATATAATACACAAGTAAGAAAGTGAAATAAATATTTATCGACCAGATCTTCGATCTCCGATTGTTAATTGAATTTGGAAGAAACATTATATTTGTTGCACGTCTCATTAACTGGTTCTTTTTTTAGTGCCAGCTAAGAGAAGAATAAGAATGAGTTGCAAATTACGAGTAGAGTCCCGGGACAGACGTAACAACGCAGTATCTATTCGCTGACAAGTTGTCCGCGTGGTTGTCCCGGAATCCGCAAGCTCTATGCAAAAAAGGAAATGTAATCATATAGGAGGCGTAATTCAATAGTAACACCGTGTGACAAATCAATTCTACGAAGAAAAACACATCTGTGGAATGTACATATTCGATGTTAATCTCGCGGTCTACAAAACTATTAGCCGAATAAACAAAATCGATATTAATCAAACGATCTATCCGCAGCGTAACAATCTCATTGGACTAACGGTGTCGCGTGTCTAACCTTATCGACTGAAAATTGTGACACATTTGTGCAACAGGTTTCAGAACTATCTTGTCATTGATTTACTATCGACCATGATAACGCAGGCACCTTGGTCAAACGCATGTGTGATTTTAACCTATTTCCGTTTAAACGAAACCAAAGTTAGCTTAAATAATTCTTTGTGTATCTAGCATAATTTTTATTCCACAATTCTTCGTTTTTATAGAATTTTTTCGCTAGAATACGGATTTTAAGTAAATTTTTCTTTGCTTTTGACAAACATTACAAATGAGAGAAACGTCTTTCAAGTATTGGCCTCTTCCCCTTGTGCTTCACGGGCTCTCTGAACTTCGTTGGTTTGTTTCCCGAGTACCACGCATGCAGGTCGTGCAAGAATGGCTTGGTTAATTCTCGTAGTTCTTTTTCCCGTTCTACGTCAGTCCCTGGAAACCCTATTTTATCGTAGATTGACTGCCATCGCGTATCGGTATCAGATGGCCTGCTATCTGTCCGCTGTGCATCCTCCTTCCGTTTCGCATCGCGAGAAACCGACACAACTGCTGCGCAATACATCATATTTCACGAGAATTAGAGTTAAAAAATCAAACAGTCGAACGAATAGTAGAAGCCAGATTTATATTCGTACGATGCTTGTTTATGGGACAGATGCATTCATCGATAGATGGACCGTTTTTTGGCACCTTTTCATCGCCCTTTGAGGAATCCGCTTTATTCAGAACTTCATTGACGCTTTCATCTTCCGGGTCCTATTCAAATTTAATCGACACTGTTAGTTTCGTCTTAGAAGATATCCATCATGTTATAAACAGACCGTGGATTTCGTTTATCCGTTGTAGATGCAACCGAGTAAAATATATTATAAACTAAAAATTCGAATAAAATACAGGCACTGACTCCATTTTCTTGTTTATCTAGTAATGTTATTCACTTAGGTAATAAGTATCTACATTTCCTTTCATTTTTCATAAATCGGTGAATAGAACGTGAATTCGCATGAAGATCCGCGGTCTATTTATACACAGACGTAATCAGAACAGGTGAGAACGTATGAAGCGTATCTTACGTATCCCACTATACGCGATATTTGCATGTCTGTTACGCACATTTTCCAGGCTGTAATCACATAGCCTTGATATGTATTCGATGCAAAACACACACGACTCGTTGAGCACATAGTGACATGCTGGCATCAATGAGGAAGACAAATACATAATACCTGTGGCCGCCATTTTTTTAATTTTAACCGACCCGGGAGATTTGCTTCTCGAACCGCACGAGAAACAATTTACTACTAATAGCTACTCTTTCCTTGATTAATTTTAGATAGTAATACACGGAAAATACAATTCCCTGCGAACGCACATTTCACGAATTACGACCAATAACTTGAGGCTCGCAGTCGGGACCATTAACAATACGCTAATGGTCACGTAGCCACATGCAAATGGTACATCTGGCAAGGAGATAAGACCGTATATTACACAACGATCATTAAAAAAGTAACAATAACCGTGCATTGAAAATAGTCAAGGACACACTGCGAATGATTTGATCTTTAGAAGAACATTTAACTGTACGACTTGATCTTTAGAAGGACATTAACTGCAAGACTTGATCTTTAGAAGGACATTAACTGCAAGACTTGATCTTTAGCGGGACATTAACGATAAGGGACAATGATACTAGTGCGCCATAGTTTCGGCCAGTGGCGTGGAACGAAATCGTTCGATTGTTTACTACGGAATGTTAATTTCATAATTGTAAAACGTAACGAACGTTCACTTTTCGCGGTAGTAAGAGCGTCAACCTTGATCTATTTTATGTAACTTGGTAGATCGAACGATAAGAAGTGATTTTTGCGACGTGGAACCGAGTGCACGCGGATAAAGTTTCCGCGCGTTACGACAGAAACTTTATGGCGCGGCATCAAAGGCCCCCGTTCATGTAATATTCCGGATATTTAATTTCACAGATGCGGAGTTCTCACGCTAACGGTGTGACGGACGTATCGCTTAAACCGTTTCACCTAACAATAGCGGAGCTAGAAAAGTTCCAAGTATTAGAAGTTGCATAGGTTGGTATTGTTAGGTTATCGTGTGACACTCTGTATGACCGTAACCAGTAGTACTCTAGTAATTTTTTTTTGGAATCATATTATGACTTTCTCATGACAGTAAAATTATTGATATTAATAATAAACTTCAAAAACTTTCAAAAAACATGCTTTCCTACAAATACTTTCATACTTTCATCATTCCATAACTTACACCCGGTATGTATTTTCTCGGATGTTCCATCTGAAGTTTCTCGATATTTTTTCTACTTTTTTGTTCCGATTCGTTCAATTTTTCATGCGCGGGTTCGTTTATGGTTCCTGTCGAAAGTTTCCTACATCTTTCGGCTTCACCGCCCCACCAAAATGGTTGCCTCAAAAAATGACATGGATGATCATATGTCGAAGTCCTGTTGAAAATAATGCTTCATTTCGGTCACCGTGCTTGATACAACTAAATGAAACATTTACTTAGATATTTCTTCTTTTTCCGGGCACTCCACCATGGTCGTATTGAGTTTTTCAACATTCTTCAATCGCCTGCCGCGAATTCCATGTAATTCGTATTGCGGTGAACGCGGGAAAACCGAAAAGAAAGCTACGAATTCGAAAATACGAATTTAATCATTAACGTGCCCCAACGAATTCTTTTTACGATCAAAACAATGTTCATCCGAACGAGTCTATTAATCGAGGATTAGCAATCGAGCTAATGTTTCCAAACGTCTCGCTGAAATTAGGTTAAAAATCACTCGTGACTCATTAGGAAATTAGTGTCGTCCGCGATTCATTTCGTCGTAGATTAATTCTCGGACGTCTTATTATTCGTGCGGCCTGCATTCGATTGGTCGAAATTGCCGGAACGGTATGTGTCCCTTAATTAGTTTAAATGGGGAACAATTAATATTCCAGACGAGTCTTTGAGCACTAGTGGAATGTTCTTGGTACGTCCGAGCAGATATCGAAATTATGACTTTTTAGCATTTTAATGCAAACAATTCTATGTTGATAATCGTTCAATTAAACTGTTATAATTGTAGTGCAATACAAACTGTTGTGTGACGGTCGTTGGATTGGTTGCCGTTTACCCATCAAGCTCAGCATTTCGAAGACCGTTCGATCACCTCGACCAGGAGGATCCACGAACCCTTCCTTCTCCTTTTTAATACACTGGTTTAAAACACGCGGGTCGAGCTCTTCAACAGGCGCTATCGGATCGCCTGTAACAAGTACATAAACTTTCACCCAATTCAATCGTCTCAATTCAATTGCGACGTCGCGTTAAATGGCCCCAGTTGAATTAATTGGATGATACGGGCAAAAGTTTATCGTCGCGTCCTTGAGCGTCACGTTTGCAGCGTTATCGAGTGAACTGCAATAGTACTTGAATCCCATTCGACGGTAACACTTTGAAACGATGGTTGATGTAATCGTAACGAAATTAATACCGCGACAAGGATGGCCAATTGTGTCAGAATATGAATTGTAAATTGACTGTATCTAGAAATCTAAGAAAAACTGTTTATATTTGATTGAAATATAATAAACTTGCTCAGCGTTCTTTTGATCGGTTTGAGCTGTTTAGCCACATATTTATGCGTGGGGGCTGGTCTTCCATGATGAAAAACCCCATCCGATAGGTACGTTGCCGATACATCGGTTATGTAATAGTCGATCGGTGGCGGTTCTGGAAACTGAATGATCGATAAATCACGTGGTAAAATCTGAGTAATTCGAACATCATAGAATTCGTTACCATAAACATGGTTCCGTATCAGAGTGTACAAAACAGAAATTTCATAACACGAAGATATTCCCTTTGTTCCCAAACAAGCATCAGAATCGTCGATACGAACAAGATCGAATGACTCGCCAGGATTCTATGGAAACAGCGGCTCGTCTGTTATTGCAAATAAAGGATATCTACTGTATATCTATCGATGACGAAGGCGCCGATAATCGATGCGTCATCGTCGTTGCTTATGTCGCTTCAAAATTCCAAATATTTCTCGTGATTATTTACAGTCCAGGGTTTACGCATCGTAATGCACGGCTACAACGTTGGTCACGAGTCACGAGTGATTATCGTGCAAAAACGAGAACCAGTTTCCTAAGGTTACGGCGCGCGTCCTATCTGAAATACGTCGCGTTATCGATTCACCGTGGACACGACGAAAACTTCACGGAAATGGTTTCCGTCTAACCCCAAAGATGTTTAATTAAACAAAATTTCCGTCGACAATCATTATCCATGCGAAATCCTCAGTGAAAGTCGCTGCTCGTCCGCCCCATGTCTCTGGTAAATCGACGAGATCGCACCCGATGGAGCGCGGAAGTCGTACGAAGAAGAAATCCTCGAGTGGGGAAAAGGTTAAAAAGCCGTCAGAATCGAAGGAATCGGAGCTCGGTAGTCGCGAAGTAACGGTGACGGAACCGAAGGAGCAATATCTATTTCTCCTAGAATTCTTGGTGAACCACGTGACCGGCGATCGTCTGGCAAAACTAAATCAAATGTTCTTCGTTCCAACATCGATCTCCATCAATTTCCTCCACTTCGTCGAAGACGAAACCATCGAGATAACCCCCGTGGATCCTCTATTCCAACCTCAGGCAGGGATCGCCGACGACGTGGAGTACTTTTATTCAGGTTGTTCCGTGTTGTTCGCGATCGATCAACGCACGGTATTAAACAGGATCCTTGATTTCATCGTGACACTCGGGGTGGAGAAGAAAATGCCAGAAGGGGTGAAACCGAATGTTCTGATAGGGACCGGCCAGTTGGATATGAGCAAGCACTTCGCCGCCCTTAGAAAAGAGATGCTGCAATGCTGGCACCGATTGGCACCGCCGCCCAAATGTTTCGAGGGTGAGGTGCCGTTGATGTACGAGGACATTGAAGTCGGCACAGTGTGCATGTTCGTCAGGATATCCGCTTTTGGGGAGACCATTGTAACAGAGTTCGATGCTCCTCCTGATATGGACATCGACACGTACGTCTTCAGAAGCAACGAGGTGGATCAGAGATCTTTGGGCTACAAGTGTCGGATCGTTGACTCGAAGAACGCTGATATTGGGGCTGATTCGGCGTTGGACTTGACCGGTGGTCCCCCTTGTCGAGTTTGCGTCAAAGAGCAGCATCCTTGCACACCTTGCGCGAATCCATGCGGCGCCACCTTGAAACCGAACGTGAGCGAACGTCAGGTGGGCGGTTCGGACGGATATCCGACAACTGTGTCGAAGTCCCAATCGAAACCAGAAACCTGCGACGACTTGTACAGGAACGGCGGACCGATCCAATCGAGCCGTGGTCAACCGTGCGGAAAGGCGGTGGTTCTGAAGGTTTCTGGTGTGTTGGACACAGGGGCGAACAAGAAACCGACGGTCACGGTCGCGTCCGAATCCGAGGCGGCCGATCAGGACTGCGGCGATCCCAGTCACGATGTTTTCGTGCTGAGGATCGGGAAGAAGGGTATAGTTGGTGCCGGCGAGAAGTCGGATATACAGTTGGAGATGAGAACGCCGAAGGGCGTCGAAAAGGGGCCGCCGATGCGAATGGAGACCAGGGAGATGCAAACGGATGAGGGAAAGAAGAGGGGGAAAAAGAAGAAGAAGAAGAAGAAGAAGGAATGAAGCTCGTTTGATCTATCTCTTGAACTCGCTGTGGCACCCGGTGCACCAAAATGTGTACAGGCTCTATTCACAGTTTGATTATATCATTTTTATTTTTACCTTAAAATCGGAGGAATGTTAATGTTGTAATAAAATAGACTGATATGTGCAATAGGCGAGGACAAGGGCTTCCGAAGAACTTTAATGCGAAACATTAAGCGGAATGCGAACAATTTGGATTTATTGGTTGTATAAACATGTATAGAGTGATTTAAATGTGGTGTTTGTTATTTTTACATTTTACTGCGTGTTATAGAAAATAAAGTTAGAAGGAATGGTAGCGTTAAGAACGTTCAAGGTAAAGTTGTTGATGAGATGTGAGGATAATGGTTGACCTTGAACAGTCTTATTTCGGTCTAACTGTAGTTTCTTTTGGAAATTGGGTTATTATTGAAAATTATTTGACTCAAAGGGTTGCACGCACTATTTTCGAATGACCGTGTACCTGACATCCGATGAGTATCATTAAATGAATATTCGAAAAGTTTGTAACATCTATATTCCTGTAACGGTGTAAAATCGCAAACTTCTGTATTATCATGTTTTTTGAAATAAAAATATCAAATGACAGCCTCGAGTGCCCTCTAGTTTAATCCTGATCTTCGAAATTTTGCCACACACATCACTATTTGACAAGTGTATCTAAATTAATAGTTCAATAGGATACATATCCGTAACGTTCTTCGATTAAAAAAAAAAGAGTATGTTTTAAATCATGAAGCGAAGTTTTCACTATTTTTAAAGCCGAACTTGAAATGGATGACGAACAACAGCTATTCTTGATCGAATTCCTGGTCGATAGAATTAAGATACCTGTAATCAGGGCGATGCAAGAGGAACTATTGCCGGCCTGCACTTGCGTTTCGTTTCAAGTAATCTCTATTAGTGCTGAATAGAACTTTACATTTGCATTAAACGTTTGAAATAGATCTCGTAGCGAAATCATAACCTCCAAATATTACAACATCTGTATCTACGAAACAGAAGGGATCTCTGGTTGCAAGTTCTATACTGTCACTCTGTTTCTCACGAATAAACTGCGAAATTCAATTAATCTAATATTAGAAACATATATGATTCACAGATTCTCAGTCTACCAGCAATAGATATTTGCCAGGAAGCCCTGACTGACGGTTGCGGTTGCAACGACGGCGACACTCAGATCTTCAAGAAGGGAAAATCTTGTTTGTTCGCCCTTCCATCGATCGTTCTTCAGAAACCGTTGACCACGTTCCCCATAAAACTGACCGTTTACAAGAAGCTACCACCGGGTGTGTTGCCGGACGTGATGGCGATCGGTAGTTATGAGATCGAGGCGAAGGCGCTGATGAACGCAGTGTTAAGTCAGCAGGTGTTCAAGATACCGAATCCTTGTCAGACGATCAAGGACACGTTCAAAATTAGTACGGCGACCGGTCAGTGCGTCGGCACGGTTACGGTCTACGTCAGGGCTTCCGGTTTCGGCCGAAAGATCATCACCCAGTTCCAGATACCTCACAATAGAAAGCCGTACTTGTTCAAGGGAGTCGACGACAGTCCTGTTTTCCAGTGCAAAAAGATACCCTCTACTTGCTATACACCTGCCCCGGTGAAATGTACCTGCACGAAGAAATGCCTCGACGGTAGCGGCGAGTTCACTGGAAGGACATGTTGCCCCACACCGTCACCGCCCTGTCCACCGTCACCTCCGAAAATCGTTCAGCCTGATTGGGGTCCACGACCCTGTTGTCCCTCCCGACAGGCGTCTCCTGGGTTCGTTTATCCTTTTATTGCTCCGTTTACAAAGACGGCAACGTGAACTATGGCCCACCTTTGTTTCGAGACAAAAGCCGTTCGCTCGAGAGGGTCAAAGGGATTGCGGATTAGGGGTTCTGAAATTGATCATTCGAATTAGTCGAGACTCATAAACAATGAATCGATACTGATGATCCATGAAAGGTTTATTAAGGGATCGGAGATTACAACGGGACTTTTCTTAACCTAATTATCTGCTACTCGAACGGTCTTCGAAAACTCCTAAATTCTAGGATACTGTCATATAATCTTACAAATAAAGTACTGAATATTTTTAATTGCTGAGTATTAACAAATGTAAAAGATAAGATGTAATATGTTCTCTCTTTTTTTTTAAATGTGAATGAAATTGTAGGAAGGTTCTACTGTACTTCAAATTCTGTAAATAAGGGTATACTTATACAGGGTGTTCCAAGTTTAAATGCCCAAATCGCCATTGAAGCGTAAAAATTTCCGATTATCTATATTCACAAAATACACCGACACAGTTTCAATAACGTTTCATCCATTGTCCAGAGCACCAAACTCTACTTGCCCGCCGAGATCACAACGAAATGATCAACAAGCCGCCTCTTTTGGAAACTGTCCACCCTGCTGTACACCGCAACACGGACAACTCGTGAAATTGGGCGGACAGCCGGGCTTGTCCAGACAACAATCCGTCGCCGACGGCAAATGCCTCCCTTGTTCCTTGCCCAAACCGCAAAATGATGGGTGCGCGCCATGTTGCGGTGCTCCTTTACCACCGTCGAAAGGATTTCAATCGTACACCGATCCGTCGAACAAAGAAGCTAGCACAAAGAAATGCGGGTGTCCCGTGAAGGATTACAGTTGCAACTGTAGACAGAAGTGATGGAAACGTTCGCAATGGAAACTGGAACATTTCCGATTCTCGGGCGATAAAAAAACGAAATGTAGAAAGTGAAGGAAGATATTTTTTTCCGATGAATTACGAAGGGTCTGGAAAGCATACAGCAAGAGGTACGTAAAAATTAATGATGTTCACGTAAACAACGATAGTGTGAACTTCCCGAAAAATACGAGACGTTCGATAAGCAGTGATATTTTTAGCAAAATTTTTATCCTTCATTAATAATATTATAACCTTCTGTTTGTATGCAACCACTGTGTATTTATACAGTTACTTATCCGAACAGATTAAACTGAGATCACTCTCTTTCATTGAATCTTAAGAATTATATGTTCATTGGATAATTCTCGTTATTTATTAACCCTCCTTTGTTGGGTTTTGTCGCTTGATCGTGTTAATTATCGGGTCACCGGTGACCCGGTCATAGGACTGTGAAGATTAAATACTTCACGACGCAGATAAATACGTAAGTGTCTATAGACTCTATATAACGAACGGTAAAACAAGTTAATAGCTTTTTAATTGCTCTGAAATCGTCGCTTAACGAACACGCACTATTGTTTTTCACCTCGTTGCAACAGCCCATTCGGCCTAAAAATCCGACCTGTAATTAAATTTTCCGTGACCATGAAAAGCGTATTACAAACGCATCACATCGCACGAAGACGTTCTATATCTCTGTTCGATACTTCTATGATACTTTAAAACACACAGGTTTTGCTGTTACAATGAATCATTCGATCTCCAAGTAACCTAACCAAGTCAACACATTGGTTGAGATCGGGATTGAAAACGTTCCGACGACAACGCAATAGGAGGCGATACTGATACGCGCGTTGCCTCGATTTGAATAATAATGCGAGGAGAACATTAACCGCGGGAGGGGTGGGGGGTGGTGACTTTCACGCAATTAGAACGGCCGGAAGCGGTAGTTAACGAGCCTTAGGAAAGAATAGACGTCGAATATGCGGGAAACGTGAAAAGGATGCAACGGGCCGGCAAGAAAGAGGGCAAGAACAGGAGGAAGTCGAGCCGCCGACGCCGTCGACGTTCGACGGAAAGGAAGCGTGAACAGCAAACGGCGATACACGAAGCGGAGGAACAGGAACGTTTGCGTAAATGGGAAGAGTGCTGGGAGAAGAAAGTACAGGCCCAGGAGGATCGGGATTTCGCTGAATGTTGCGCGGCGAAAGGGTTGTGCGTGAGACCGAGGACTCAATCGAACATTTGGATCAACGTCACACGGGATAGATCGCTTCAGGAAATAAATATCACCGTCAAGTAAGACAGAATTTTATCATTTCTTACTATGTATGTACTTCGGGGTGATGCTTACTTGATCTAAAACAAGTTTTATTGTATTTTTTCATGGGATCCCCTCTGTCGATGTGTTCACTCTTATGAGTAAGGAATAAAATGGTATTTCAAAAAATGTTCCAGTTAAATATTAGGGGTTCCTATCAGCTATTGAATTCTGTTTTTTTTTTTTTAAGAAAAAGAATGCAATTTTCTTTTCGAAATGTGATTTTTTTGCACAGTTATTTAACATTGGAATGTTGTTGCGAAATAAAATTTGTGAATCGATAACTTCACTGAACCAATAACAACTGAAACATACTTTATATTCTTCTTTACTATACTTTGAAGTGCACTCTTTTCAACGAATAGTATTTTGGGCGAAGGGCTAGTCTTGTTATTGTACTTAACGTTCATTTTTCATTTACCAGAAATGTTCCCGTCCCGAGACCAAAGCCCCCGCCTCTGCCACCATTGAAACCACAAAGACGGTCTGAAGATGCAGCCGCGGGGAAACGTACCGGAAAGAAAGTTCACAAAAAGATTGGCACAGGAAAAAGAAAAAGAAAAAGAAAGTAACCGCCGGTCCCATTACAGCGTAAGCAACTTATCATGAGATCCATAGTATTATCACGAATGACGACCACTTTTTCTCCATTTATGCTTTTGTTTATTGTTTTCTGCATGTATCGTACGTCCGTGCTTTTCTATTTTACCATTTGTAAAAATACATTGGACCACGGCGCGGCAAAGATGGCGCTGTCACGTGTTGTTATTCTCGTCGTTCCAAGTACGTTCACCGAACCACCGGAATGGAAATACATACATACATAGTCGTGGCGGCGGGAGAATCATAGTGTTTTCGCCAATACGATGACAATAACTATTTCTTACTTGGTTGCAATAGGGTGTACAAGATTGTTATCTTAGAATCATTTAATATAAAACCATTATCCTATTTGTAACGGCGGGTCGCGCAGTATTTTTTTTCCTAGGATATGAAGTAATTAATTCATACACGAAAAAAGGTTCATCTCAACATACAGTTTTTTTTTCAAATGAACTAAAAACCTCCTTATACAAAATTATGATCAGTCTTCTTAACCCTCAGACACCACAGCCCTCCGATTCATTGGAAGGAGAACATTCTTCCACAAATACTTACAAATCACAGCCACGTTCTTACCATATGTTCAGAAAACTGACACAATCCGCTTTCTAACATAGGTGTCTCGATGTCGTTTAACCGACTTAACCTAACAAACAGCAAGAGACTTCAGCCGGTCTGACCTTCCGGGAACGGGCGTTCATTGACACACGTTCCCCCAGGAAAAGTGACGTTGCAACTGTCTGCAAGGACGTTGCACGCCACAGGCGTTATTCCTGTCCTCGGATTCGAGTGGGAGATGGCAAGGGGGGAGGGGAGGAAACACTCGAGAGGGACAGAAGGGAGATGTGGCGATAAAAGCCGACCGGAAGGGGGTGAAAACGCGAGAGGAGGGAATCGAGACGGACTGCGCGTGCTCTCGCCATTCGCCACCCTCTGTTGCCACACGCGAGCGCGCGCGGTACCGGGGTTGTAAGCCGATATTGTCGGGCAGGCGCATTACCCGGTTAACACCGGTGGGGAAAACGAAGAGATGTGACAATAAAAGAGCATATATAATCGGCGTCTAAACGCACGTTAACCTCTCGGAGCACTGGCTGGTTAGCTGGCTGTCTGGCTGGTTGTGGGGCTGGCTGCCTCGCGCGTCGCCACCACCATCGAGAAAAAAATTTATAACCCCGCGATGAGAGCCAGAAAGAGAAAGTGAAATGTTTCCCCTAAAGTGTGTGTATGTGTGCGTGTGTGGCACTACGTGAGAGAAAGAAAAACCGTGCGCGAGTGTGTGTTACACGTCAGTGTACAGATACCTAACCCGTTTTTCATACCGACGGAAAAAGAAAGAACGGTCTCGAGGAACCGTCGTGGATATCTCCTCCGTCTCGCCGTTCGACCGAGGGAAATGGACATGAACAACTCGCCGCAGAATACGGAGATCGCCGGGCAACAGCACCGGTCTGGCGGCGGCGGTGGCGGCGTAGAGAACAGCGACGAGGAGGAATGGAGTGGTGTCGTGGAATGTGTAATGTTATTACATCGACTCGTGTATCGAAAGAATGATTTTTATTTGCTGAAACAGCCTTCCTCGAGCAGTTTCTTGTTGCCCATTTCGAGTTGTTTTTCGTGGTCAAGGAAATTCTGTGGGTTGCACAACGTGTGTTGAATCTTTATTACCTAAGCATATATATATATATATATATTATTTTTTTTTTTTCGTTGTTATTATTGTTGTTCCTCGTGGTCTTGTTTCACATTCGTACGTTCATTTCTTCCACTAGAGAATCGTTGTCTTCGTAATAAATCGGGACCGTTATCTGTTGATTCTGTTTATTCTCTCAACTGCTGAGCTTAACACGGATCCCAATATTCCAGAAACCGCGGCTTTACATCCGAGTTTATGCATACACTTTCTCCGTTGCACTCGCTATGTTTATAACGTGGGTATACAGTGAGGTCTGGATCAGCGCAAGGATTTCAATACGAAACGGTTCTACCGGAATCTTGGTCGACCAGTTGTTCCTTTCTTTTCTGTCGTTCTATCCCTTTTACCGCCGTTACATCTCAATCCACTTGGATTAACGTTCCTCGGGAATGTCGTTGCACTGATCAGGGGTTCATTGTATCGGTACACGTCGGTTCAATATTTTCTCGCTTCTAACGATACATACATATTACACGTTTTTCTTTTCATTCTATTTCTAGTGACACGCGAATTCATAGGATGATATTTTGTAGCCTCTTATCGTTGCCAGAGCTCGCTACACTAACGTCTGTTCCTTCGTAGGCTGTTCTGGAGAGGTCGAAGTCTGATCGGGTGACACGAACGGATGAGGACAGGCGTCGTCGCACTATTATCGTTGAGAAGAAAAATGGCACGTACGGTTTCACGTTACAGGTAACGTACATATCCATGTGTCCGCTCTTTTTCCCAGGCACGAACTATACATTTTCCCTTGAGCTTCAGAAATTATAGAGAATCGCACATTTAATCACGTATAACCGTATGAAACGGTATCGTGAAGAAACTTGTTTTCAAATGGCTTTTATAGTTTTCGAATTATTACTGAAACTCGAACGGATTTGAATTCGATATTAGAAATGACGATAACGAAAAATTGCGTAGAGTTACGGGATACATTACAAAAGGGAGCAGGAAATCGAGATGGTCACCTACGTGGACTACGTCGAATACGACGGGCCGGCGTTCAAAGCCGGTATGCGGGAGGGTGACGTTATATTATCGATAAACGGCCATGAAATGGATCGAGCTGACCACAAAACGTTGGTCAATTTTATAAAGAACTGTGATACTAGGATGCGAATGGTGGTGTCTTTCGAGGACTGTGTGAGAAAGGTGAGACGAACGGCGTTTAAACCGACGATGATCCAGAGTCTAAACTGTATAATCGATTAATAACGACGATGTTTTTTTTTCCTCCCTTCCTTCCTGCCCAGGTGGAATTGCATATGCGTTACATCGAGTTACAACGTGCTCTCCAATCCCGGCTCGGCGAATTGGAAAGACTGTGCGAAAGAGAAAGGTCTCTTCTAATGGGTCGATGGAAAACCCATTCCCTGCCAGCTCGCAAGAGAACGCCTAACAATGTGATTACGAGTAACCCAAATCAACCATCGCCGTCGTCGAGCTTCAATTCTTCCACGATTCAGTGCTGTCGCCCGGCCACGTCCACGGAACACCTACTGCTCTACAACGTGGTAATTTCCAAACTCATAGATGGACACGATCTAAATGTTTTGGAACAAAAAGCAAAAACGCATGTACCGTGAATGTTTTATGGTTATTAGACTAATACACCGATACACAGAGGTTGAAACAGTTCCCACAAATTACTACTGCCAATCTATTATATGGAGTTGTTATTACAAAACAAAGACACCGGATCGAATATCATATCACATTTGCGGGAACTATCACCCCTGTAATGATTGTTATCGAAGGTTGTCATTATGGATGAAAAATGTTCACACCTGTACCAGTTTTGATCTTTTGTTCCATTTAAATCAACGTCCACAGAGTGAAACTAATCGTTATTGTGCTGTCCTTTTCCTTAGTTTTCCGATGGTCGGCCTTGTTTAGTACCTCGGACCGCCGCCTGTTTGGTGGCTGTAGGACCGCCACGATCTCGTAGCGATCACCATCATTTCCTCTCAAAGATGTCCAACGACTCAGGAGTAACGGCCTCGTCGCGACACAGCTACCACCAAGCGAATGGAATGAGTACCACCCCGGCGAAATCTAAATCGCACAAATCCTGTCAGCAACAGCAATCCAGCTCAGGTGGAGAGCAACCTCTTCACGCACCATCGCAGAACAGTCTTTGCGTAGCATGTATCTCGAGCACTAATCGTCGTAGAGAACAATCGGACAGCGGCAGTTTGGATGCATACGATCTGGCCAGTCCATGCTGCGATCCAAATTGCGTGCCCAGTCGTCGTCGTCGGGAGAAACAGAGACGGGCGCGAAACGAGCAGAATCATCATCAGCAGCAACAGCAGATACAACATCATCATGTCCAACGGGAACAGCCACAACAAACGCAGCAACAACAGCAACAGCAACACGGCGCACACAATTGTTCCCGCACGTCGGGACATAGTTTACACTCGATCACGAGCAGCGACATCTCTACCATCGTTGACAGCGTCGCCTCGTGTACAACCAGCCTAAGCACAGATACCCTATACTGGGATCCATCGAATGTTCATCAACGACCACCACCGTGCCTTCAGTACGCTAAACCGAAGTCATGGGACAATTTAACAACGAAAGCGTTCGGAGGCTACGGATTCGGTTATGGGTATTTAGACACGGCAACCATAAAGACGCACAGCGCCGAAAGACCCGGCAAAGGTACGCATGGACGAGCGAAAACCCCAACCGGAACCGTACAGAGAAGGCCAAGCACTAGTACAACGTATTCGGGAAGTTCCACCAGGCATTTTCAACCGACAAAGTCTACCGAAAGCCTCTTAATACCGCCCCCTTATCAGGGTGAATTGGACGCCAGCCTAAGTTGCGAATGCTTGGACGGACCGACTCCACGATGCGTGCCGGTTATGCAAATCGAGAAGCATAATCGGCAAGATGATGGTGGCTACATTATCAACACGCACACGCAAGTCAGACATCGCCGGTCTAGTCATTCCGATGGGAAGTTAAGGGCTCTAAACAATTCCGAAGTAACGCGATTGTAATTTTTTCCCATTGGAAACAGTACCCTAACGCACAATTGGGAAGAAGTTTATTTCGTATAACGAATACAACCTCATAATTTATTCAGGAATTACCAGATATCGATTTATTTCAAGAAACACTTACTCGTTAATCACGAATTAAATGTATGGCACTTTAACCAAATTTTTCTCAAATCAAATTTTCGTTCGTTATTCGTTGTCCGCTAGCGACGAATAAATTTTTTAATTAATCGGCGCTGCCGCCGAACACCTAAGAACGGAAGACTTGGACATAGCAGTTAGGCTATTTATGAAGAAACCGTCTACATATAGGCGAGAGTCTATTTAAGATGATGATTTTACTCGTCAGTTTATTCGATAAAAAATTATTCGTTATTCGAAGATTACTCGAATAAATTTTCATTCGAATAATGCCTAATTCTACATTAATGAAATACTCCATATGTTTAATATATCAAACTCCATATGGCAACGTAACGGTGCGAACCGTTCCTCCCACCTGTTCTCATTTAAATTTTTGTAACCGGCTTTATATCACGACAATGGAAACCATGTTAAAACGTATTAGGGAAAATTAGTGTTTTATTCGCCGAATGATTCGAGAACAGACCAGATCATTTACAATTATTGTGTTAAAAAAAAGACACAGGTTTGGTTGATCGTTTTGTTCATAGTAGTATCGCTTAACCAACGAATGATTTTTTAAATGTTTTCCAGATGGTTGATGTAACGTAACGATGCTCGCCGCGCTTTTTAATCTTTTCAAATTTTTTATGATTAATTGACAGTGCGATTGTTTGAAAACAATTTTAAACTGTGGTAAATGTTAATAGTAATATCATCGTTATCATAAATTGAATAGACTATTGAAGTATATTATTTCGAAATAAAAATGATATAATCATCCTGTAATTCGAGAATGCGGCGAAGTAGAAGACGAAAATAAACGTTTTTAAGAAAATCTAAAGACTACTTCGAGTTTATAATTTATTTATAAATTTCCTCGCATTTACTCAAATGAAGAAAAATCATATTGATTGTTGCGTTTCCTTTAATCGATGTTGTTCATGAGCAATTATCAGTTATAACATTTGTAATTAATATTTCATTTTTTGTAGCAGCGTTTTCCAAGTAACAGCTTGCAAACCGCGTGGAGTTTTCTATTTCTGTCTACGTTGCCACAAACTCATACGATGCTAAAAACACAATGACAGCTCAACGTCTTCTAAGTATTTCATTAGTATTTGATAATGTTTAACGACGAGAACAGATAATTCCAAAATTGTCGTACAATACGAAGACTGTGGTGTCACCTATGGTATAACGCTCAAACTTCTAGTCAATTAGTACTATATTCTTGTCACGAGATGACACAACGTTACCATTTAACGTTCACTTTATTAAAAAATTATATTGTGATTAAACAATGCAACAAGCAATGATTACTATTAAATAATATCGATGCAAGAAACATCAATGAATAACTTGTCACCAATGAAGCAGACTTTTATTTCTTTTAAATTCTAATTTTCTTGTTTCTCAGCAAGGTTGGTCTAATTGTCAATGCACATTTGCCCTATTAATTAAAAATTGCTGATATTTCATCTACGTTTTTTAATCTTAAATTTAAATACTTGTCAAAACAGAAAAATAGAAATTGCATTTGAACTGACCAATCAGCTAGATGCACTAATGAGTTTTAGTGAACAGATCTTGGCATTCAGCAGTATTCAGTCTGCCGAATACATAAGTTCATGTCCACGCGCGGCATTATTTTGTAACCATTGAATTTTATAATATACCTGGAATCATCCTGGAATGACGCTGGCCTGTTAAACAGAGAACACTGTGTGAGACATGGACCTCACCATGACCAGGTCCATGGTGTGAGAGGTATTACTATTCCCTATTTCACTCTTACACATCTCTTCTGGACGTATCCTCGCGAGCAAACTCGGTTTCCGTTAGGGGAAAAGGGACGTAGAGAAGAGCCTCCTACTATGTTCCTACCTCTTGGTATTTGGAATTACTGAAATTTATGCCACATTAATATTCAACTTAACATTTATTTCAATACCTAGAATAAATTTACCAAGTAATAGGAGAGTTTTCTTCTACGCCTTTTCTTCCCCCTAGTGGAAGCCGAGTTTGCTCGTCGGTTACAATCGTGTCTATACTGCGTATTCAAATTTGCTATAGGATAGTAAATAAATTTACTACAGGATAGAGTAATAAAGGATGGAGGTACCTTCGGTATAATTATCTCCCTTGGCCCCGGCTCATCTACGATTTTCCGTACTCTGTTATCGTTTCAGAGTTCAGTTGAGTTCATTGAGTTCAGTGTTTGTAATTCATTCGATATAGGTTATATTTTGACATTTTGATTTTGAAATTATAAAAAGGAAGCAAAGAAGATGTCTAGGAAGAAACATAATGTTTCCTATATTAAGCCAGACGAACCAAAATTTTTACGGGAATTAAAAGAACGAGTTGGATACAAGGAAGGGCCTACAGTTGACACAAAGGTATGTTTCATCATGTTATATTAAACTTGATATAATACTTACTTAAGTATTAACGGTTATATGTACAAAAAAATAATTTGTTATGCATTAAGAACATTTTTATGTGTATAGTTATAGCTATAGTTACTTATCCATATTCAGATTATTTGTTGTAATAATTCTTACTTTCATCTTTCTTCTTGACTATAACTAACTGTACTCAAGGCATTAAGTATGATTTAATGTTTATAACAGCCATTTACATGACTTCTTAAAACAGAGAGAAGTATTACCACAAGATTCAGATGATGAAAGAGAAGAGTTTGCAGAGGAGAAGCCTGTTGTAGTTGTATTGAATTCTGGTGATTTAACTGCAGAAGAAGCAGAATCATTTACAAAAAAAAAAGAAGAAGGTATGAACAAAATTTGTTTTAATTATCATGTACTTCATAATATTATTAAGCAACAGATTGTGAAGGAATTCTTAATTACAGAGGAAGCTAATGCTCCAGCAGATTTATCCAAAAGAATTATATTTAAAAAGAATAAAAAAGATGAAAAGTCAGATACTACAGATAAACCAGTAAAAAAGAAGATTAGAAAAGAAAAACAAGAAAAAGTTGTACTATCTTTTAATGATGATGAGGATGATTGTGTTTAGCATTACATGCAGATGTTAAATACTTGATAAATATACAAAAGAATCATGTAAAGCATATAGGTTTAATAATTAATAAGTTAAAAGTGTATAAAATAGAACTAATATAAGAACTTTATGTATGTAGCTACTTCGTATATTCATATCTGACTGTAAATATTATTCATACATGTACATAAATTATGAATTTAATTTCCCAAAGCAAGATAAAAATATTGATTGGAATGAATTTTATAAGTATTAAAATCTTTTAACAAACCTACTGACATTTTGAAATATATGAAATTTTAGCCATGTATGTCAGAAACCAACCACTGGTAATATGGTGATACAAAACGACAGGAAATTCGAGATAAATGAAAATACAAACAAAAAATTCTACTGTATCGTGTAGTATAAAAAAAGTAAGCGTTATGCAATGCAAACGAAATTTTTTTACAGTTTAGAACTTATAGTGATATTTGAGTAAGAGTTGTTCAAAAGGTATCTACTAGAAGTGTCTATAGAAAAAGGGCGGGGGCTAGTCATACAACCCCGTTATTTTACATTGTTGCAATTGCAGATTGCCCTTATTCTTAGGAGGGCCTCTCATTGGATGTGCACGTGTACCCGGTCACGTGACAATATATAACAAACGCTACTGGTCGTTTTGTCCCTTTAACATTACGCGTACGTCATAAAATTTGCGGTCACGTGATTATCGGTCGCCATCTTGGCAGTTTTCGACGACGGAGGTAAGAAGGATCCGTGACGTCGAACCCAAATAAACACAAAGTATATGTGAATAATTTCGGTATAAAGACGGTGTGTATCGAGTGCCGAGGGAGTCGCGTGTGTCTGCCCAATATTTCTCGGTGCTCCGAACGGTCAGTGAATTTAAATAGCGCGGCATTTGCGATGCGTGTGTGTTTCGATTATTGGTCCTCTTTCGGGGGGATAACCGCGATCGGCCAGCGACCACCACGGCAGCTGTTCGACAGCTAAGCCAGCCCTTACGAAAGAAATGGCGGGAGCTTTCTAAATTTCGATAAGCCAGCGAACACGTGCGCTCTATTCTGTCTCAATCGTAGATAAAAAAAATCATTTATACGGCACAGCAACAGTCTTGCGATTGATTTGTTGAATTTTATGATTTGTACAGTTCTGGTACTGAAAACACAATATAATCAGGGCCGTGACCATCCTCTCAAACGCCCTGCGCTTCTCCCCCTCCTCTTCCCCTGTACTTGGACTCCTCTTTGGATAGACTTCAGTTAGATTCCAACGAAAGTTGTTTCGAACATATACATGTACTTCAGTCTTTGCACTACTTGTATAACCCTAAATGCAAATAAGGTTTCGTCGACAAGAAAATTATGATCTGTTTGTAATATATAAACCGGTAACAAATAACAACAAATGTGTAACTAAATTATCGTTTCGGTAAAATATCGACATTTTTCATGAATTGACAATTATGAAGTGAACCTCAATTTTATGTTTTGTTGCTTTATTCTGATGAATGATTCGAATGATTAAGTCGTTTGTCAGTGATTTATTTCGATTTAAAACCATATCAAAGTGTAGTGTTTATTCTTTTAACCGTGTTATCTTCGTGCATTATAATTTCGTCTACCGAAGCGCGTCATCAGTAAAGTAAAGAGTAGAGTTCGTCTACCGAAAAAAGAAGAATTATTTCATTCCGTGAATCGCGAGTCCTGAGATCGTTTCTAACTTGATTATAAATAAAACGTTACAAATATACGATAATATTTATAAATTCGATTACGCCAGTTGTTCTGTTTTTCATTTTACCGAATCTAGATCCTCACTGAATACAGTATCTAAACAGTGTCATTAACTGTCGTTTAACGCGATTCTTGTTTTCGAAAGAAAAAGAAAGAAGAAAGAACCGACGCGTTCAACATCAAAAGTACTTAATCAATATCGTTGTTTGAGTATGGTTTCGAGTGATGGGGATTTCATTCGACCAATGAATGTTAGCAAAAAAAACAGTAGGGGCTCTCGTAATAGTTCAAAATAATTTTACTTCCTGAACGAATAACGTGGGTATTCCTGTAACGTGCGTTGTCGCGATTAAAAGTGTAACGACGATGAAATAGACGCAGTGAAATCGTGAGAAAGCTACGTCTCTGCACCGCGACCCCTTCGCTCCATTTCGTCTCCGCTTAACCCTCGCCAAGAAAAGAGCCCCACGACTTTGCGACGGCCCTGGGCATAACTTTTTAACGTTTCCAACGTCGCTCCTGCCCTCTGGCGCCTAATTTTCAGCGATGAATGTTCACTATTTACAGGTTTTGTGAATAAATCGTGTATCGTGCGTATAAGGACGAATCGTAGCTCCGACCGCTGCCACTGAAGATCGCGGATTGTGAAAATGTCGTGGTATCAGGGAATCGTTTAGGAGAGCGAAACGGTATCAGGTGCGTATATTTGTGCCTGGTGACAGGATATGGATGGAGTTCGTGCGCGTTCCATCGCTTGGTAGAACCACCGGGATACGTGAATAGCGAGTTAAGTAGCACGAGACATGGCCTGAACCGAGCATAGTGAATGGGGTTCTTCTTATCCCGGATTACCGATTTCTCAAACTCTCTTCTTCACGTTTTTCCATGCTTTGAGGAGCATAATTATCGTCACTTCAAACGATGCATCGGGATGAACGTTGGTGTAGGTTAAAAGTATGTTCTCAGCATCTTTTTTAAGAACATCGTGTGTCCTTCGAACCGATATGTAGAGGGGCATTTATCATCATTTCTCTAACATTCATATAGTAGATTAGTCCTCGGATGAACTTGTATCGTTTCGATAGGAGAACAAACGAGATAACTGAGAGAATTCTTATCGAATATCTCGGATAAAGAACGCTGCCACGGGTGGATCTCTACAGATAATCTAATAGAATGGTCCGCGTTTATCTAGTTCCTTCTTCGTCATATACGTTAACCCGTGTTAGAATGTTGATCGGTGGTTTTGCCTTTTCGTGTGTCTTCTTGTAATTGCAAAGTGTTAAATATTTTTTTAGTGGTAAGGTGTAATTTGCAATATTGGAGGAGGATTTCCGTACGTCATGATCGGATTCGGTGGGTCATAGGGTTGTTCTGTAGGTGGTTGGTGTGTGTCCGTCCGGCATTTAGTATAGAGTTAGGAAGGTTGTGCGCTCGCGCGCTCGCTAGTGGATGGTGAGTTTGAGATGGGTTGCGTCGTATAGATACGCGTACGATTGTTGCGATGTGTTGTTGGTATAGATATGCGTGCATGTGTGTATGAAAGACGAAAGTTCGATGTGGTAAGCTGTAGGTATAGGTGGTAGGTTGGTTGGTGCTACGAAGGTTGAGAGGAGAGGTACACGGAGGGCTGACTGACTGGCTGGCTGGCTGGCTGGCGCTCGGACGCGGTGGCTGGCGAGTGCAGGTGACTGACTGAGAGACGCTAACCATTCAAGCTACTTCACAGGACTCTCCTTGTCCGTTCGTTTCTATCCACATATTCATGGGTGACTCCCTGTCCTTTTAATCGCTTCTCTGGCCACGAGTAATTAAGGTTTCTCGAGTGAACCGCACAGATCTAAGCAGCACGCCAACTGGAAACCGACTTACCACCTAACTTTGTTGGTTATGGGAACAAGGAAATAGGAGTACGGAATTCACAGCGCCATTTTGAAAAATTCGGCCCCGCTAAAAATTCCCTCCCTCTCCCCCGCCCTCGCGTTCATGTCGTGGATGTAATGAATCGCGTCGTGCCCACGAACCGCTCACTCTTGTGTTCTTATTAATTGTTTAGATCAACTGTACAGTGGTAGCCCCATGGAAGGCACGTTGGAAGAACCCCCTGTTAAGGACTCATCTCAGGCCAGTCCTGATAAGGTTCTCAAAGGTATGCTGTCCTCTGCTTGGAACTATTTAATCAACCCTTCTGTATTGTCCAATATATTTATTTTGTATCTACTCAATGCTTGCTAAAATTGATGCTTGAGGATAATACTGGGGTTTTGACACTTTGGATTTCTGTTTCCTTCTGAATTGTTGAGTTGAATATTTTGTGTGTCGTGTAGCTAGATATGTCTTGTTCGAGTTGTATATAGACTACTCTTACATTGTCATATACTTCTGTGACTCTACTTATTCTTGTTGACTTATGCATTAGTAATGTATAATTATTAATGTTAATTAGCACATTTTATTGATTTATGATAATGAGACTAATATTCCATAATTTATTTGTATTTATTTCTCTTTTTTTTTTAAATATGGATAGATGGATATGTTTAAGGTGTATAATAGATTACTGATTTATATTTGATATTTTACAAACAAATGTTATTTGTCTAAAAACATTTTTTGTGTTTTACAGATATTGTGATACCAAATGGAGTTAATGGAAATTATAATGACAAAGAAGGATTCACTGATGCAGAGAACACATCTAATCTGTCAAAAGAAACAAACAGTGCAACAAAAGAGGAGGGGGAGGAAACTTATGAAGAAGAAGAAGATGATGAGGATGAACGCAGAATGGAGGTTGAAATTGAAGATGGGGATGTAGAATCAGAAGATAGTGAGCAGGATAGCATAGTACAGAGTAGGAGTAGAGGGGGTGAAATGTTAGAGTCAGGGAATGACTCTAATACAACTAAATCACCTGAGGGTGTCAGTGAGACGAACAATTCTAGTGAAGTGTGTAATACTGAAGACAAGTGTAAAATCACATCTTGTGAGGCTATGGAAGTTGATGAACAAAGCAACAACTCGGATGTTGAATGTCTCGATGAGAGCATAACAGAAATACAATTTGATACTGACGATGTGTTCACTATGAAGAATTCTTCCCATAAGGATAACCAGAATTTGTCAGGCAGTAGTGATTTACAACAACTTAATGACAGTAGCGAAATTACAGATAATACCATGGATGGGTCCGATCTGAAGATTTGTGAAGAGAATGGAAGTTGTGACAGTCCTGATATTGAAGAAATAACGGATAGTGCAAAGAATGGTCATAATAGTTCCCCTGAGCGGGCCAACAAAGATCCTACAAAACAAAGGAAACCAAGGAAACAATTAGACCTTAGTAGTATTACACCACGAAGAAGTTCTCGTAACATAAAGAGGACAAGTTATATAGAAAAGGAAATAGAAGAAGAAGATGTAGACGATGATGGTTCTGACATAGAAGAAATTAAGCCTGAAGATCCTTTGGCTGGTATTGATAGTAAAGATAAAGAGAACTCTAAACTGAAATCTCCAATCAAGAACAGTAAAACTACTATTGTAGTTAATGATACCAAGCGTTTGGTAGAAATCGCAGCTGGTAGTAAATCAGTGAAAGGAGGGAAGAAAGAACCCACCTTAGTTATCATAGACACAAATTCTATTCTTTCTGGGCGTGGTGGTGTTCCTGTGAGTAACAATAAGCCTCATCATTCTGTCTCCAGTTCCAGTTCTTTCTCAGTAGTACCCATGGGTATGACAACACAAACAATGTATCCTAATATGAGGACAACTATTACACCAGTCCCAATGACGTCAAAAACTGCACAGTTAAGTCCTAAAACAAGCAGTATGACTACAGTAACACCTGCTGTACCTCCTATATTACCTACTTTAACTGATGATATGTTCGTCGTAGAGGCACCATCTTTTATAGTACCATATGTATATGAGAAGCCACCTCTCAAACCATTAAAAGATTTTGTCACAAAATTAGAACATTGCTTAGAGGAAAAAGAAAAAGAAGAAAAAAGCAAAAAAATTGAAGATAATAAAGAAGAGGAAGGCAATGAAGACTCATTGGATATGAATCAAAAAAATAAAGATAAGGGTGATGACAGCGAAAATGAAGGAAGCTCTAAGGACAAAAAGGATGGAGAGGATAATAAAGGAGGTGAAAATTCAGTAGACTTAACTGAATCTGGATTTAGTAATATAAGTGATAAACAAGATATCAGGCATGATGATAGAAATAAGGTAATGACATACTTTGATTTACCATTGGGCAAATTTTTCATGCAAATTGGAGTGAATCTTGTTCAAGAATACGTGCAAACGGATCTTTTACGGACTCAAAAGCGTAAGCAGGGCAAAGGTAGTACATCGGCTGAAACTCAATTAGCTATAAGTTCACTCATCAAGAACTTAGAATTTAGTAAAGAGAATAACGAACCATTCCACTTAGAATTGAAGAAATGTGAATTCTGTAGTTTTAAAACAGAATCGACTTTAGTCATGCAGCATCATTTAGAAACTCCGCATATGCGCAATTACGTTTACAAATGTAACTTTTGTCCGATCGAAGTGCGTAGTCCTCACGATATTTTGTTTCACATGGAAGCAGAACATAATACTCGTGGAAGGTTGGAACGTGGTCCAGCTTTTCATCAATGCCCTAATTGTCCATTCGAAGACAACCAAAAAGGCAAATTAACTCGGCATATACTTGCTTGTACGAAAAAATTCAGACCAGAAAAGAACTTAGAGCCGGCTGCAGATTGGGAACCGCCTGCAAAAATTCCAAGACTAAATCGTGCCCGACCTGTTGGACCCACTAATCCCAATGCACTTGCTGCCATGGCAATGGGTAGTAAAGGACCACAGCCACTTCTGCCAAAATTACTTCCTGCTCCAATCACAGGTCGTGGAAGAGGACGGCCACCTATGCAACCAAGATACTCAGATATGAAAACATTGCGACCAGGTGGAACGCAAATGCGGCAAGGTAATCCTCTAGTATTTGTAATTGGTAATAGAATATTGAAGTGAATTGCCATATCGGTTTATACAGATGATTATAATGCATTCTTTTATGTTTCAGATAATGTTACAGGAATGATGTATCGTCCAACTTCTTCTGGTTTATTGGTCCCAACTTCATACCAATTTGGTAGCAACCAAATATTCCAGGTAAAAGTTACTTTACAGAATATTTTTTTTGTACAAGTTAATAAAAACAAAAAGAACGGATCAAATTTTTACTTTTAGTAGCAGTAAAATTACTGCTAAAATTAATGGTATTATATAAAGAGGTCAATGATAATTATGCGAAGTCATGCCCCTGACATGTTGTATTTCAGTTGTAATGTATAGCGCACTTGCGAAATGCATAATGCACTATCCCTGTGCATTTGTATTCCTTCTAAATTATATACACATAACAATACATAAAAAATATATAAAGATAGTAATATTTTCTTTAATGTAATGAGATTATAAGTAGGGCCATCTGTGGATATCATATCTTTTATTTATCAAAGCAACTAATTTAGTTTAGTAGTTACATTATTATAGTGGAATTTCCTAGTTTTTTAAAGGCTGTATTTTACTTTCTTGTATCTTGCACTCATTTAATCAAACCTGTGATTTCTATTTTTCATTTATTTCTTGAGAAGAGTATGGTAATTTTATGTGGGTCATTTGACAAATTCTCGGAGTGAAGTAGAAAGACAACTCATATCATTTTACAAATATTTCTATTTTTTAATGTAATATTCCAATTTCATAGATCAATGTTCTAAACACTCTTGAGAAACTTGCATTCGAATTCACGTCCTATCATATGTTAGGAGAATGAACAAAATGAAAATCTTCGATAAACTAAAAATTTTAGAACTACCGATATCATCTACACTTTATGTCGAGAACTTTTCAAATGACCCACGTATTCTACATATGATTCGGTTTATCCTTTTGAGTCAGTATTAAAGTATATGTACGTAAGAAATACAGGTCCACAAATTCAAGTAAATAGAAAAATGTAAGAATTAGTAAAAGAAATATATGGGTGGTGGCAGGTGGTGGGTGGCTCTGGGACTGTCATGTCGGCTGTCTCGGGAGTGAGTAGCAGTAGCGGCGGCAGTTCCGGTCAACCCACACCCATTGCACTTGTACCCAACGTAATCGACTCTCTCTCTAGGTTGTCCTCGTCACAGGTAAATAAATGTTGGAAACTACCAAGGAAGGTTTCATTGATTTTGTAAACTTTGTGATCGCATGAATGTGTTCTGCAGGTGCAAAAGGCTTTTATATAACCAATTTCTTAAAATCTTCTATCATTACAGCTACACATAATTGCTTATAGGGCTTAATAATAATTTTCAACTTATAGCTACATATCATTAGCGTGCAATGCAACTAATTATAAGATCATTGGTTTCAGTAATGTATTTTTGTCCCTGTAATATTAGTTCATTATGAAAACACTATTGATATAATGACATGCTTTTTATATATTTCGCCAAGGAACTGAATGGCAACTTATAAATGTAAATATACTTTCCAACAACCATTCTATGTTACCATTATTGTCAGAAAATATTAATAATTAATCATTATTATTATGTTTAAATTACAGAGACACAATACAGTATTCACAAATAATATGTACACCTTAATAATTAGTAAAATTCATATGAATGAACATTACATACAAATATAGCTTTTTAAAAAATTATATCACTGTTCTTATTACTCTATGCAAAACACAAAAATATTTTGAATCGATAATAAAAAGTGTAAGGTAGAAAATTTGTTATTTGTATTATATAATTTTAGGTGAACATTACTTAATGCAATTTAATACTTCTTATAAGAATATATTGACTATCTTATATATGACTGCTTTGCAAGTAAATAGTATGTATTATGTTTTTCAGAATTCAACAGCCAGTCCCAAAAATCCTACAGCAAAGCTGCTAAGTCAACCAAGTATATCTATAACCCCACTACCACGTACAACATCTCAGACCTCTATTCCTGGATCTGGAACTTCTTCAAAGTCTGGAGGGAAGACTACATTTGTTATATGTGAGATCTGCGATGGTTATATTAAGGTAAATTGTCTTTTTAAAAAGATTGTATAAGACTAAAAAAATTAAGTTAAAGTACCGCGATACGTAATGTATGGACTTTATCTGTCGTGTAATGTTATACGTTCTTTTCAGGATTTAGAGCAACTACGTAATCACATGCAATGGATCCACAAAGTAAAAATACATCCAAAGATGATTTATAATAGACCTCCTCTGAACTGCCAAAAATGTCAGTTCCGATTTTTCACAGATCAGGTATATAATACTGCATCATTCCTTATAACTTAATTTCTCTCCTATAGTACTATAATTTAATTTATAATAAGTACAATTACATATCGATGAAAATAATAATTTTACGTACATATTATACCCCTTGGATAATTTAGAATTATTGGAAGTGTAAATACTTGAAATCTTTCTAGAATATTGAATAACACTTTCTTTTGCAATTTCTTATACATAAAAGGTATAACAGTGTGATGTGTAATTACTACAGGGTCTCGAAAGACACTTACTCGGGTCTCATGGATTGGTTACGTCCAGTATGCAGGAAGCAGCAAACAAAGGAAAGGATGCTGGTCGCTGTCCCGCCTGTGGCAGGGTAAGTTTATCCGTTTCATGTTGGTGTAGCATTTATAATCGTGCATTTTGGAGATGAAAGACAAAAACAGCATAACACACCTAAGAGCTATGAATCTTAACTTTTTAGGTATATCAATGGAAATTACTAAATCATGTTGCGCGAGATCACGGAATGACATTAAAACCTGCGCATCTATCTTATAAATGTACAGTTTGCACTGCCACGTTTGGAATGTATAAGCAGTTCGAAAATCATGTTTATTCGGCACATAGTGTCGTAGCTAAGAGAGTAATGGATAAGAAGAACACACCTTCATCTCCATCGTCCAGATCCAATGATTCCCTTCTGAAACCATTGAAGATCAATGACGAGATCACAATTATTCCACAACCAGCAAAACCTACAACCAGGTCGGGTGCATCTCAAGGCAGAGGAAAATAGCAATGATCAGCAGAGTGATACATGTGTCTTGTCTTAATGAATTTCACGTAACAATTTTGTGGTACTCCATACCGGTCATTGTTAATACACAGTGACTGACGTGCCGTGTACATGTGTATGCATATTATTGCTTAAGATGCAATTACAAAACAAAAAACACATAAACCTACAACTCTTGGCAGTAACAGAAAAAAAAACAACTAGTTGATTGCGTAATAATATTCCATCAATGATTATACCGATATATTTATTTAAGAATTTTTATTGTTGTTATCGGACATACATAAAATAGACTGTAAAAATATTAAAGGGTGGCCTTCAGTCTAATTCCTTGGTTAATCCTAGAGCTGCATACTCTCCTGACCTATACACGCCTATGAGAAAAAACCTTATAAATACTAAGTGTATTTACATTTTATGCGACACTCACATGTCATACTGCGAATCACTCTTTAAATAGCAAATTCACTATAATATAAATTCATTTTCTAAGACAAATATATTTGAATTAATTCTATTTTGTTATTAATGCTAATACGATTGCGTAGGGCAATGAACGATAAAACACTGTCCTTAATCTTATATAATCGATACGTCGACGCATCATGTTGCGGAGAGCAATTTCTGAACGATATACGAAATAACAAATTGTACTAATTAACCAGAGTGCCCTAGACTGTCCCGCGCGGTATATACTTCTGGTATTATAACGGTACCACACTGCAATCTTTTTCTATCATGTGTACACTTACTTTTTCTTTTTCTAATTTCGCCATCGTATCTATTCTTTAAGCGACGAATTTAGAACTCGATAATTCGCTGCTTAATTTGTAAACATTTCGTGAAGTTGCGTGTATGAAATAAGTTATGATATCAAAGACTTTTCGAGTTGTAAATTGTATCTATTTCTATAAGTTGAAATCTTCGATGGCAAGAATTGTAATAGAAAAACATTCAGTTTTATTTTTGCGCTTTTATAAGAACAAAAATGTACATTAACATAGAATATAATATAAACGATTATATCAATAAAATAGGATGGCACACATAATGTGTATACATTTTTTTTTGTTAAAAAGGAAAAAGGAAATGAAATTTATCATGGAACATTGAACTTGTTAACAGACGTCGCGACACATATATACATATTTATGTATGTATATATATAATATCCAACAAAATATTATATATATAAATATGTAAAATTACTTTAGTATAGCGATAGCGTGGTATAAGAAGAGACAGTTACTTATCTTCTTGTATGCACTCTGGATTGATAATAGGCTTATACCAATATGTAGATAGTTGAAAAGAAAAGTAACAAGTTTAATTTAATAATTTCGATTCGTTCTCGATAAGTTTTGTACGTTTATTGTAGACGATAATTTTAGAGGGAAAAATACCGCATCCGATAAAAGAAAATAACATAGTGCGTTTTTGCACTGTACGGCTGTATTATTTAATTGTACTACTTGCCAGCAGCTTTCGTGGCAAGCCATGTTGGTAAAACAGAGAAACATTCATAAACGTAATTACAGAAATATATAGTTTACTGTAATAATTTGTACAATATTATATGATTATTAAAATAAAGTGTACCAACATTGTATTAGAGTGTGTGACTTATTTGTTAAACCTGCATGAAGTAATTCCCTTCTAACACATCAATTAACTTTAAAAAATTAAAATGTTCATATAATTTTTAACAACTGTCAATAATACCATTTTTTGTAAATATATTAGTCTTGAAAAATACTTACAAAAGATCACGATAATCATATTAATCATAATAGTTGGATTTTTATGCAAAATGACATTTTCAAAAGTAATTCATTAAGACAAGAGCAAATGTAGCAATTTGTTCCTTCTCTTAAATATCTTATTGGATTAAGAAAAAAATAGAAAATTCATGGCATCTAAATAAAGTTTTGTTTTTTATTGTATTTCACAGATGCTATAAATGCATGAAATCCGTAGTTTAATAACTATTTATATAAACACTATATGAAATGTATGGATTCATGAATTTTACATTCTATTTATTCTATTAGTAGTATAAGTTATTGACCTAAACATTTGGATATATATATTACATTAATATATAATAATTAATGAAGTAAATTAAATAGTAAATAAATGAAAGAAACTGATTTTACCTCAATATTAATTCAGTTAATTTTTACCAAACAAATCAACGTATAATTTAGAACGCACAAAGTTGTAATACAAGCAAATTTCGTCTTCATTTAAAATTGAATTCCACTTCCGGCGAAATTACTATTGTCAATTGGCCAAATTTGCGAATATTCAGTGAAACATTCAATGTTGCGTAAAAATATATTTTTATGTTTTTCAATTATCAAATTTATTACTGTTCCATTATAATTTATGTTTTTACATACTTATTGATCTCTCGCGAAGGAAGCAATGGTTTCTGAATGTGTAAAGATTTGGCGGGTAACGATGTCGCATCTACGTTTGTGAATGCAAGCTTCCGACCGGGTGTTTTGCTTTGAAGCTAAAGTCGTTGAAGAAGCGATATTGGAACAATGAGTGCCGATTTGCCGTATTCAGTTGAATATGCGAAGAGTTCACGCGCTTCGTGTCAAAATTGCAAGAATTCTATTCAAAAGGATTCACTGAGACTCGCAGTTGTTGTACAGGTACACGTTATGAAACACGCAGAAAATGTTCGACATACGAGTATATCAGCATTGGGTTCGATAATAAATTCCTAAATCTACAATATCTTTCATTAGCTCATGTTTTGCATTTTTAATGACATTTAACCAGAATTATTATTATCACATCTTGAAGTATGTTCTACGATAATAACATTAATATGCGACGCATTTGTAAGGATTCACGTGCTCGTTCATTTGGCACGCAAATTCGTTGTTTGCCTTCATTTTAATTTTAATATGCCTATGTGTTATGAGCTTCAATTTCGTAATAATCATTCTTCAATTTTGTTAGTGTATAATTTTAATACAACAGTCCATGAAAATATCACTTCAAAATTAATATCTGACAGAGTACTTTATAATTTCCACTTTGTAAATTTTTAGAGTCCTGTTCATGATGGAACAATACCAAAATGGTATCATCCTCACTGTTTTTTCATTAAACAGAGGCCCAAATCTATTGCGGACATTGCTAATTTTGATAATATTCGTTGGGAAGATCAGAAAGATATTAAAGAGAAAATTGGTTTGTTTTGTAATACATTATCAATAATATCTAATCATACAATAAAATAGTTTGTGCTATAATTAACAAGATCTTCATTTTTTTTTATGATACTGGGAAATTACCTAATCAAATTACATGATTTGAAGGAAAAGTATTAAATGAAAAGATATTTGACAAAAAGCAAATTTTCTTATAATTTAAGGTCATGTTTTTTTTTAATTGTATTGTATAGTTTCATTTATAATCCTTTATAGTTGATATCAAAACATTTACCTTTGAAAATTGATCATTTTTTTTCAGTTGACCTTTTTCTAGTATCATAAAAAACAATTTAGATATTTGTAGTAACCATAATACTTGTTATATTCTGTACTGTAATTTGTTTTTTATAGAGGAATCACTTAAGCTTCCAGCATTACCTGCTGGGAAAGGACGGAAACGTGCTAGCTCTGCAAACAATACAGGTCCTACAAAGGATTATTTGGTCCAATATGCAAAATCTAACAAATCAACTTGTAAAGCATGTGAAGAAAAAATCGTACAAGGTGAAATAAGGGTGTCAAAAAAAGATTTTGAATCTGAACATGGCAAAAGATATGGAGGTATAGACAGGTGGCATCATCTTGACTGCTTTGTGAAAGTAAGGGAAGAGTTTGAATTCTATGCAGGTGGTGATGCACTACCTGGCATAAAAGATCTTTCCAAAGATGATCAGAAAAAAGTTAAGACTGTATTGCCAAGTATAAAATCAGATGGTGTTCCACCAGTTAAGAAAGTCAAGGATGAACCAGAAGATACACAAGAAGAGGAACAAATGAAACAACAGAATGACGAGTTGTTTAAAGTTAGAGACATGTTGTCTCAAATAAACAAAAAAGACCTTATTGTTATGTTGGAAAAAAACGAGCAACAAGTTCCACAAGGAGTATCAAATGTAAATATAAAGAACAATGTTACCGATAATTTTTCTCTTTCTGTGAACATGACTTCCGGGAAGATTACCGGATACCGATTTGATTCCCGGTAGTTTGACGCCATTCCACCCGGTTAGGGGTGGAAAGACGTTCCGCGTATCCCCTTTTAGTCGCCTCTTACGACAAGCACGGGGTACTGTTGGTGTATTCTTATCCCGACCAACAGGGATAATGTTACCTATAATTTTAAATAGCTTTATAAATGATTCTTAAATTCTTTGTTACAGTTACTAGATCGCTTGAGCGATATTATCTGCTTTGGTACTTTGAAGCCATGTCCAAAATGTACTGGTCAGCTTGTGTACAATTCAGGACTTGGATATAAATGCACTGGAGATATGACAGAGTGGACCAAATGCGAATATGTGACCCACGACCCTAAAAGGAAGAAATGCTCAATACCATCGGATTTGAAACAAGAATATCCAGATCTGTAAATAAATTGTTTGGTTATTACATTTATAAATTAATATATAAGATATCGATAATAAAAAAATGAATTATTTCTTTAAATATTTCACAGGAAATCTTTGAAACCAAAAGTTAAGAAAAGATTGATAAAGGTAACTGCGCCATCAACGTCCAGTTTAGTAAAGAAAGAAGATACAGTTGATTCTGGACCAAAAGTCGAAGCAAAGCCGAAACCGTTGAAGCACATGCAATTCTTTTTCATGGGACGTACGAAAAAAGATAGAAATGCTTTGAAGAAAGACATTCTTCTCTTAGGAGGAGAGGTAATTACAAAGCTCAATGAAAATGTAGCCGCTGTAATATCAACTCAACAGGAGATAGACAAAATGAGTGACAGGATGGAAGAAGTCAAATCACTTAATATTCAAGTTATCACTGAAGATTTTGTTGAAGAAGCTAAAGAATATACAAAGCCGGCTGTCTCACTTATTAAAAAGAAAACGATTTCAAGCTGGGGTGGTAATTTGTCTGATAGAATCAACATTGTAGCAGAGAAGTCGTCTGCAAAGAGCAAGGGTAAAAGTAGCTTTGAAAAATCTGGATCTGGAAAAATGAAACTGCAATTAAAAGGTGGTGGAACTGTCGACCCTGATAGTGGTTTAGAAGATGTGGCACATGTGTATCAGAGCGGTAAAGACAAGTATACTGTCACGTTGGTACTTACAGATATACAAACGAAAAAAAATAGTTACTATAAGCTGCAGACCTTGAAGCATGATAAGCAGAACAAGTATTGGTTGTTCAGGAGCTGGGGTAGAATAGGAACAACAATTGGTGGTACAAAATTGGAACAGTTATCATTGGAGGAATGTATAGAACAGTTTGAATCCCTTTATGAGGAAAAAACTGGAAATGTTTGGAGTCAGAGAGAATATTTTGTTAAAGTGCCTCAGAAGATGTATCCCGTTGATATTGATCACGGTGAAGAAGCTTCCACAAAGCTACTAGACTCTGATATCAAGAGTGACCTAGAAAAACCAGTTCAAGATTTAATAAGATTGATATTCGACGAAGTGAGCATGAAGAAAGTAATGGCAGAATTTGAAATTGACACAGAGAAGATGCCACTTGGAAAACTATCTAAGAAACAAATACAAAAAGCATACTCGGTATTAACTAATCTACAGGACTTGTTAAAGAACGAGAACACTGAACGAGTTAATTTGGTTGATGCGTCTAATAAATTTTACAATTTAATACCTCATAATTTTGGGATATCTGGACCAAAAGTGTTAGAAAATATTGATGAAATTCATCTGAAATGTGAGATGTTGGACGCTTTGCTCGAGATGGAGATTGCCTACTCTCTTCTACATACACAGACGGACTCCTCAAAGAATCCACTAGATGCTCATTACAAACAATTGAATACAGACATAAAAGTACTGGACAAAGAGAGTGAAGAATACAAGAATATTGAGCAATATGTTAAGAATACTCATGCTGAAACTCATAAGCAGTACGACCTTGAAATCGAGGATGTATTCGTTGTGAAGAGACAGGGAGAAGATAGTAGATATAGGCCATTTAAGAAATTACACAATAGAAAGTTACTGTGGCACGGTACTAGAACAACCAACTATGCTGGTATATTTTCTCAGGGATTGCGAATAGCGCCTCCAGAAGCTCCCGTTACAGGTTACATGTTTGGTAAAGGTATATATTTCGCAGACATGGTTTCCAAATCTGCAAACTATTGTTGTACAAATAGCGAAAATCCAACTGGATTATTGTTACTTAGCGAAGTAGCATTGGGTAATATGTATGAGAGATACGCAGCAGATTACATTGAGAAATTACCAAACGGTAAACATTCAACATTTGGTCGTGGTCAAACACAACCTAATCCTAAACAGTCTCACACGACAAAGGATGGTGTTGAAATTCCATACGGTCCACCCGTAACTGTGAAACTTCCGAAATCATCAGCCTTGTTGTACAATGAGTATATTGTATATGATGTTGCTCAAGTGAAGCTGCAATATTTGTTGAAGACAAAATTCAAATATAGAACGTAATATTCTTAGATACAAGACTTTTAAGAGTATCAGAATACGTTCGTTATACCCAATAAACTTTGTCTTTGTATTCCATATATTTAACCTTTAGTCTGCCGGAAGTATCCCTTTTGAGATATTGACAAAATTCGTAATTCAGAAACAGTCCATATGTTACATATATATATATATACACATAAATTTTTAACCAAAGAATTACCACTTCTTTAATGGAAAAATTCCGGCCGTCTAAAGGTTAATTACGTTTGCCTCTACTACCTCTCGTATATAAACGTGTTAAGATTAGTCATCGTTCTGTGAATATATCTATGAACACTTTTGTATGGGTTGAAAAAATAAATTTATGTAAAATGAGCCTTTTTATTAGCATGCTTAACTTGGATTGCAACTTTTAAAAAATGGCAATGAACGAAATAATTTATATTATTTATTTGTTTGATACACATTTATTTTTTTTTTATCCACAAAAATTAGTATTCAAAATGGAAGTCGAAGTACGACTGATCAAACGTGTTAATACGAACATAACCGTCTTCTCCCCCTGTTGAAAAGCTACGACCATTAGGATGAAAAGCAAGAGAATTAATTGGGCCGAAATGTCCTTTTAATCGCGCGAATTCTTCTTCAAATACTAAATGGAAAAATCGTGAATCGAATTTTCCTTGACGAGCGGAAGTTGTTGTTACATCCATAGCATCTTGACCACCTCCAAGAACCACCTGTAAAAATACAGTTCTTGTAAAGTATGAAACGTGTTATTTCACGAACAGTGTGAACTAAACATACATGATCAAAGATAGGGGAAATTGTGGCTGAATTCACAGGTCTTTCTGTTTTGTATGTTTTTAATAACACTAATGATTCACTGTCAAACAACTTTGCTGTGTTATCTTTTGATGCAGTCACAAACATCGTACCATCTTTATTAAACTGCATATCGTTTATTTGAGATTTATGACTTTTAACACTTGACAGTTTTTTCGATGTCTGTGAAATAACATTTATGGATTAGTCATGAATATTATTGAAAATGGTAAATACATAATAAAATACTATTTACTCTGACATCCCACAGAGTAATTTCACCGTCTTCATGACCAGTAATAATTGTTTCATCTAAAGCACCCCATAAAATGGCAGAGATTCTGGGACCACTAACTGGAATTCTAGAAATTGCATCTTCCTGTGACAATATACCATCAACATTTCTGATGTCTATAATAAACATTTCACACTGTTGTCCTAAAGCTTTGTCTGTAGAGTAAACAGCAAGATCTGCTGAATAACTAAAGCTACATGTTCTCACTGAACTTTTTGTATTAAGTTGACCTATTTCTTTTCCTGAAAATGAATTAATAAATGAATGAACCAAATCAGTTACATAAATTAATTAATAAGGAAAGGTCACAACCTGAATGTGCACAAACAAACACAGAATTAATTGCCAGTGATAACCATTTGTATAAAAAACAAGAGCAATTACTAAGTTTCTAAAACAATGGGCAATACAAAAATACTTAAATAAAAGATGTAAGCATATTAAGTAGGTAAAAACCTAAAAGATATATTAAATAAAAGAAATAATTTTTTATAGGTTTTAAATTATAGTTTGTGCAAATACCTCATTATCTGTTACTTTGAACTTATTAATGAATATATTTCAATGTAATATCGTATAAACTGTACTTGTCTTGATTATGACCTTTTCCTATGAATAAGAGGAAATACAAACCAGTTTCACAATCCCAAACTCTTAATGTATTGTCACCACTGCCAGACATAAATCTAGTTGTGTCCCAGTTGACATCAATGCACCATACTGAACCATTATGACCATTAAAAGTTCCAAGACGTTCTCCGTTCAAAGAGTACCAAACATTTGGTTTTTTGTCTTTACTCGAGGAGAATAGTAAGTCTCCTTCTCTATTGTATTTAATTTTTGTGATGGCACGTTCATGCCCATGTAACATCAAAGGTTTCTAAAGTACAACAAAAAATCTATCATTGTTTGGTTATATTAACGTAACCATAAGACATTACTTAGGCGGTGACAACTTTAGATTTATTAACTAGATTACATATAGCAAAGAAAATTAATTGAATGTCAGAATGGTGAATCAATATTTACGAAATGAAACGCAAAAACTTAAGAACGTTTTAACTATTTATATTCAAAGAACTGTGACATGTTCGACAATAATCTAATGTCATCGAGGTTATGTTATCACATGTTTAAACATTTTATTTAAAGTTCATAATAAATCACCAAACTACAAACGATACATAAAATCATTGCTTTGCACGAAATAACTAACCATTTTATTTTGTATTACACAATTATATACAATGGTCAAAGAATTAAACAGATGAACACTCCACTAATCAGAACAACTAGAAAATCACAGAAAACGCTCAAGCTGGCTCAAGCGCTGAAAAGACACGAGTATTTGAATACATAGAAGTGATCCACATTCTGATGCGCATCAAGCCATTACCATATTGGTGAATTTACATGTACCTACTCGAATGATAAAATTATTTTTAGTAATGTTAAATCGTTTATTGAAGTTCTTTGAAGCTACACAGTGAATAAAGAATTATTAATTGTACTACTGTTAATTGTTATTTAATAAACAAGTAGAGATTAAAGACACTCGACAATCAAATTTGCCAAGAATAAAAAAGATTAGATTAAATATATAGACATTCATGTACGCTTTATAGGAATCAAATTATTCATTAAAGTTTCTTGCATGAAATGCTGCGGTTACCTCCTTTTATTAATGTGTGATTTTTAATTAAATGCTCATCAAATTACAACGCCTCTAACGATACGAAAACACACTATTTTATGTAACGAAGTGTCACATCTAGATTGCGAAAACTTAGTCCCGTTCCAAATTCCGGTCGTGTATACGCATTATTGAAAATCGGAAAAGGAAACGAAACTGAAACGGCATGTCTGAAGTTGTTGGCCAGCATGAAATTGATCAGAGCTATTGTTTCAAATGGAATGACTATCACAGTCATTTAACCGATGTAATCAGACAACTTCTGGAAGAGGATTGCATGGTGGATGTTATACTAGCAGCTGCCGGAGAACGCATTCATGCCCATCGTATAGTCCTCTGCGCTTGTAGCACTTTGTTTCGAGTAAACAACACTTGCATTTTTCTGCATTTGCCCTGAAAAGTCATAAACACGAAATCCCTTAATATTTAATAGTTACTAAACTGTGGATCTCATGCATTTATAACATACACGATTATCTAAATTTCAGTATAGTGTAAGAAGTTTAGTAAAGTTCAACAAGATTCTTATTTTATGTGGATTCTGATAAAACCCTTAATAGGGTTAATCAATTTTTGTTCAATCCAGTTCCTGTAAATTAATCCTGAAAAATCTATATTTGTATAATCATTTACAGTCTAATTAATATATTTAATGAATTACTTGCATCCTATTTTCTAAAGAATTAATCATCTGTTATTTAAAGTTACTTAAAAGTTTAATTGGTTTTATGACATTACATTATTAATGGTATTTTTATTTAGATGCTAATAGTTACTTGTTCTGAAGAAAACATATATTATGATATTCAAAAGTGTTGTACATATATCTATTTATGTTTGCAGGAGGTTTTGAGTCAAATAAATGAGGATCATCCTACAATAATATTAAGTGATATATCAGCACAGGATATAAAATCTATTGTTGAATTTATTTATCATGGAGAAGTGAGAGTACCAGTGGAAAATATTAGTAGTTTATTGGATGCTGCACGTTCATTGAAAATATGTGGTCTTATCGAGGTTGTTTTCTTTTAAACAATTTTTGCAATTTTAATATTTGCATAGTATTTGAATGTGATTACATATTTTGTAACATTACCTTTTTTTCTACAGATTGATGAATTAGATGAAAATGACTCAGTTATAAGCACAAAAGACTTCAATGATAATAGTGAAGAACCAATGACTGTTATTAGCGAGGCAGAAGAAAATGTTATTAACGCATTGCAACATAGCTATGAAGATTTAGATGATCAACAAGAACAGCAAGCCACAGATAATTCTTCTTTAAATAAAAAAAAGAAACGTAGGCGTGATACAACAAAGAGAGATTATAATGATGACATGTTAGCATCGGCCATCAACGACTTAAAGTCAGGGCAAACATTAATAGAAGCGTCATCTAAACATAATATACCACGTTCAACATTGTATATGCGTGCCAAAGCCTTAGGTATACATTTAAATGCATCAAGAAATGAATATCCTGCAGAGTGTATGAAGGCTGCTATAAATGCTGTAATTGGTTGGTATTTCTTATGTTTATTATTATGTTTGCTGCCATGCAGAAGGCTATTGGAAATAAAGCATAGTCTGTAGAAGATGATTTACAAAGTCAATGATGGTAGCAAGTCCATAAAAATAGTATTTTTTTGTATTATTCAGTTTATTTTATCAATAGGTGGATCCAGCTTGCAGCATGCATCAGAAATGTTTAGTATACCTAAGACTGTATTATGGAGACGAATTCAGAAGGAAGGATATCAAATATTGCGTTCAGAAATGAAAAGGTCCTATGGTTCTGATAAACGTGAAGCTGCAGTAAAAGCTTTAGAAAGGGGAGAGAATTTAACTAAAGTTGCACTTGAATTTAAAGTAAGCTTGTTAACTTTTAATGAAATGAGGATTTTTAAGTTGCACTGACTTTCTGAAAGTAACATTGGTCATTTTCAGATTCCAAAGACTACTTTATTCAGAGATAAAGCTCGGTTAGTAGATGAGGGAAAACTGCCATTATCGTTTTGGAAAAAACGTAAAACGGAAAATGAAGAATTAAAAAGATCTCGTCTGGAAGAAGCTGTCGCAGCCTGTAAGGGAGGCAAAATGTCGCAAGCGGCTGCATCAATGACTTACCATATTCCTAAAACGACAATATGGAGACGACTTCAACAAGATGGTAAAAAGTCAGAACGTTTGTTGAACTCGAGAAAGCAACGAACAACGGATTCGAAACACAACACAGAAATGAAAATCCAAAATGGATCCGATTTCACATATTGTGAGGTACTTAATACATTTTTAATTATTTTTCATTATTTATCGTATATGTATTATCTAATCGTTACTAACAAATTTGTATCGTAGGTATCGTCAGAAATTCCTATAACTTACATAGATGAAAATAGTATACCCGAGGATTCTGTGATAATATTAACAGCAGACGATATGGATGGACTTAATTTAGAGGAAGGACGACAAATTATTGTTAATTCAGTATGCATTCCTGTTTCTTCGTTTTTGAAATTTAGTAGTATTCAAATACACCCATTCAATTTTATAACTCTTTTTCTTCCAGGAATCAGTACAAGAATATGTACCTTGTACTATAAGCATAGAAGAAAATTCGAATTATTCACAAACAGAAAGTTAACACATTAGTTGTGATTCAACATCTAAAAATTGTTAATATTTTTTTTAATACAATATACAGAGTGGATCACTAACTCTGTACATACATCACAAATAATGTTGAAATCGCCATAGGTACAACAATGATGAAACTATTGCCACTTTGTTATCCCTTTTTTATATCTTTTTCTTGCTATTTGAAACAGCAGAAATGTTTCAGATGGACAAAGTCAATGATCCACCCTGTATAAACAAACATTAGAACATATATTCATCCATTATAATTTATTATTCTATGATTGTTTTATTGTTTTGCGTTCTCTATTTTGTATAAATAAGTCTGATTATTATGATTTTATATTGAAAAATGTATATTAATTTTCACTCTACATACAAATTATATTTTGTACGTTATAGTTTATTAAAATTCATGTATAAACGGAATTGTTTAGATATTTGCAAATTAATTCGATCAAATGGTGCAATAATGAACATGTACCCTAATAAAAATAATTTTTCTTAGAAAGTCAAAAATACCTTCCTGTGTTTATACATCGATGTTCCAATGTATTGTCTATCCTACTGCAATAGTCCTTCAGAGTGATTGGCTGAAATGAGAGTTCCTTTATGTTGTAATATTCAATTATATTGTATAATGGAAAGAAGTAAGATCCCGAAAATTATGTGTATATATTTTTTTATGTATTTAGACAATTTTAACGACAAATGAGTACTTAGTAGTATGGGAATTTTGTTGTAAATGATGCTATTATTTTTTCTGTAAAATAAATCTACTAAAAAATTTTTCACTGTAAAATAATGTATTAAGATTTTTAATTAAGATATTTTTAAAAATTGGTTTCATTTAGTATTAGTTACATTAGTTTAAAAGCAAAATAGGATTTTTATTACATATTGTACATTCACACATACAATAAAAACGTAAGCAGAAGTGTATTTATATACAGTATTTACAATATAGTACTTCTTCTTTGACAATTTAATATAGCATATTTCACACTTTTGTACCAAATTAAAAGCTTATGAAAAATAATATTAACAATTTTAGAATAAAATCATTACGCAACTTAAGATACATATTATGTTTATTTTACAAATTACGAATTATCCATTTCTATTCAATTTCCTTGTCCTGTAGTTTTTCTATGCTATATACACGGCTATATATCAAAGCTACTAGATTATCATAAAATCAATGATTAATTTTTCTTATTTAACTACATATATTTTCAGAGTTAATGCTTCAAGTTAGTTGTTTTGTTATGTATGAAAGTTTGTTGCTGATTTGAATTTGAACTTTCATAAACGACGTCCGATGACGTCTCTTTTTCCGGTACTAACTCAACGGGGTACGTGTCTTTTTGGTAGCTGCTTTTATAAAATCCATCTATTTTTAAAGAATCCTTCCTTTTCTTTAATCCCAATTAATTGTATATGTTATAAAACAATATTTGACATTTTCCTTATAAAAATTTTTACAATTTAATCGCTAAATCAACTATTTTTCTCGCATATTCTAGGTGATCCAGTTTGCTCTACTTCGATTCAGAATGGTAAGCATTAAATTTTTATTAACGTTAACATTGCAGCATTTTGTCTCACAATGATATTTTGTTCTTTTTACAATTGGGCACAATTTGCTCTGATGAATTTTGCATATTTAAAAAATGCAATATATAAAAATGACGTATATAACCTTAATATAATGACAAATACCTGATAGTGAATTTGTCGAGACAGTTTCAATCTGTATGACTGTATATTTGTGAATCATTTTTGTATAACTATTTTAATAACTTACGGTACTTTTGCAGCCACGTGAAATCAAAGAAATTAAGGACTTTCTCTTGAAAGCCAGGAGGAAAGATGCCAAATGTGAGTGTTTAGATTGTGAGATTCTTATGGATCATGTTATTTGTGCACTAATTAATTTTTTTTTTATTGTATTCATTTAGCTGTAAAGATCAAGAAGAATGCTGACAATGTTAAGTTCAAAGTTCGTTGCTCAAGGTTTCTGTATACCCTTGTGATTACAGACAAAGAGAAGGCAGAGAAATTGAAACAATCTTTACCTCCAGGTACTTAATCATTTGTGTTTAATTTATTACATGAGATCGCATTGAAAATTTTGCTACTTAATTATGCATTGTATTAAATTTCATTCATTTTTCACTTAATGGTACATTAACTCATTTTTCAGGTCTTCAAGTAAAAGAAGTAAAACGGAGTGAACGTATGTAGTTAATCAAATAAAATAATTGGTTAAAACTTGTTTTTGATTCTTCATTTGTTGTACCATTACAGTGTAAAAATCTTTAAAACAGTAAGATACTAACAGAAAATGAAAAACACATCTGTTCATCAAATGCCATTAAAGTTTTACATTCAGTTAATTTTATTTGTGAGATTACCTTGTTACTACAAAATTTTGTACAGGCGGAGTGCATGGCTGATTCAAAAACAGTTTTCTTCTTTTAAACATACAATGATAAATATTCTTCCTTTTTGAAGGTGAAGTGCACATTAATTTTAACTCGTCGTATGTGTCTGTACACACATTTCCACTATTACATGCAGGTCTTTGATCATAAGGGTATGTTTGATTATAATTAAATCTTGTTTGACATTTTCTTGTACTGTGTTTAGATCTTTGTTTTAAATGTCGCGACAGGGGACAAGCCTTTCTTTGACACGGTTGAGCATAATATTTCAGGTATTGAGAAAACAGTATTCCTAATTCATCATAAGTTTCACTTGTTTCTGAGTGGTGATCTAATGTTGCAAGAGTGCCTTCATTGTTATACACTAAATTTTCAGATAACAAGGTAGTGTCTTGTGAAGAAATGTAATTATTAGTGCCATTTCTTACTCTAGAAGATGTAATTTCATAAATAACACTCTGATCTGATTTAGATTTTCTTGTGGGACTTTTCATTTCATTAAAGTAATTTAATTGCATATCTATTGATGATTTCATTTTCTGTTTTGTTTTTTTTCCATGTCTATTGCCTTCATTTGATCCTATCTTTAATTTCGTTTCTTGTAATTGGTTCACTGCATTTAGACTATATTTATTTGTTTTATATTCAGAATTTGTTACACTTAACGATCGTATATTATTTTCTTCGATCGTTGCATCATTATCTAAACGTTCAATTTTTGTGTTTATTGTAGTAGATATGTTTGATATTGTAGAAGAATCCGCCGATCTGAAAGTGTTTGAAACACAAGAATAAAATTTAATAGTCAAAATTAATTATTTTATATGTAAAATTCTTTAACGACCTGTGTAGCTTTTTGAGCTTCAAGTTTGAAAAACCGTCCAATCTACTTATAACAGAATCTGAGAAATACGTTGAATCTGAAACGAAATTTTTAGATACAACAGAATAGGATGAATAATTTGACTTTGAAATTCCATATTTATCTATGTAATCACCGAATGAATCGGTATTTCGAAACTGAAGTTCAAGTAATTTGGAACCAGTATAATTGTGTTCATTATAATGATCATTAATGGTTCCTGGATTCCATTGATAGAATAGTATTTTTTTATCATGCTCTTTTATTTCGGGTTTTTTCGAGAATGCTGGTGTTGTCAGAAACTTTAGGTCTGTGTCTGAGAAGCAAATGCTTTTATCATACTAAAAACAGACGTTATTAAAAAATGTATTCGACAGAAGTGTAATAATTATAAATTCGTTTTTACCTTGTTGTAATCAAAAAGGTCTATGCTAGGAGTACTTATTTCATTATGTTTACTACTCTCTACATCTGTCATGTTCACTTTGTTCAGTGTTTTACTGTCAGTACTTTTACGTTTCATGATAGATAATGAAGAAGAGGCAAAAGACATTTTCGAAGATAATCGTTTCCTCAATTCCACGTTATCGACGGTATCAATTCCACAAGGATCGAGTAACTTTTCCTTTTCCTGGTAATAAATATATGGACATAACTATTTTTTTTTAAACAAAATAATTGTGACTCAATAGATTTTACAATTTCGAATATAATACCGGCAAAATTGTCTTCAAATCACAATCCTTATTTTCATACTGCTTATCCCTTTGGCTGTTAAATTTTTTGAACTTTGAACTCTTATATGCATTAAAGCATGAAAATCGTTTTGTGTGTGATTGATTGTCACCTTCGCTTATTATAAGAAAATTGTCATCGATTCTTCTTTCCTTGTTTTGCCGTGTAAGACACCTTTGTTAATGTAATTTTAGGATTGCACCAATAACTGAATACAAACATAAGTATAGTAAAAAAAAATATTGAAGTCTTGTACATATCGAATGAAACAGTGTTGAACCTTTTACAAGTCGAAATAATTCTTCCATAAGTGAATCGGTAGCAGATAATGCATAGAATTATTAGAAGCAAGATGACAAGGATTGGAATCCACATTGTCCAGAAATAGCCTGCAGAATTTTCAGATTCATGATCAGGTTTATAATACTTTTTTCTGGTTTTATACATTTCCACCCCTGTTCGTTTGAGTTCCATGCTATAATTATATATTACTTAGCATTTAAAATCATTTTCACGCATACATATTAGTGTTGCTCACCTATATATGCGTAATGAACTTTTGTTATTGTTTTCAACGTGGTGTAACATGAATTACTACAAAGTAATTCAAAATGTATATGATTGAGAAAAGGTACACAATTTAATATTTATACTTAAACATACATGAAGACAGTAACAAATTTGTGAGGCACTATTAATCTTATTTATCAGCAAATATTTATACCATGTGGATTCTTCTAAACAAGAATAACAATCAGTTTTATGTAAAGTGGTACTTACACATACATTTCATATAAGTTGTTAGTATTGCTGTCAGTAGTATTGTTTACGAATACAGAAACTTTGTCCAAGATTTAAATCTTTATTATACCTTTATCTTGAAACAAGTATCATGTTGATTATCACACATACACAAAACAGTAAACGCACTTTCACTTGTGTAAGACATACATGTTCACTTCATTATCATTTACAGTAATTGTGTCGCCATTAAACTCTAATAATTACACCTTTTTGCTTCTTTGATATTTAAAAAAACATTTACGGGTAAAAATATCGAGACTATACATAAAAACATTCGAAACTCATATATCTCTACCGTTTTTGTTTATAATTGCAGTGCTTATTAATACCATAATTTCTATGATAACAAAATTCAATAATGAATATGTCTTTTACCTAATTACATATCTATAGTTTTTATGAATCTGATAAGAATTTTTATTTGAAATGAGTTAAAGCAATGCAGCTTGCACCAGGGTAAAACATCCGTTCAAAAATTTTTCTAATCTTCAATATATACATACCACTCAGTAAAAAAATGTTACGCAGTACTGGATTTTAAAATCGTTTCTTTTACAGTACACGTTTTACGTTGATATTATGAAACACAGCACACTTCACGAATTATTGAGAAAAAAAATGCTATGAAAGAACCTGTAACTTAAAGAATTGTTTATACTACATTATCAAATTAGTGATTTATAATATCTTTTATAATCTTTTAGTAAATTTTACCGAATAAAATGATAAATACAGAGTATAATAAATGAAGAAACATAATGCGTACTTAAAGACACACACAACAAATTTTACATGTAACTTCTAGTCTTATTTTTAAATTTTATTAGGTAGAAAGTTTCTTATGATTACTGTTTTGATGAAGTGTTATGTTTTCATAACACCATGTCTTGTCTGTGTCTTGACATGCTTTGATCATTTATTCATCACATTCATGATACGTAGCCCTACAAACAGAAAATGAACAGAAATTAAGGTGCATAAAGGAAAAAATCATGAAAATAATAAGCTGCAGAAATTACCTCTGCTTATCCATATTTCGGCGAGATAATCTTCTTCCGGAATCGTGTGTGGTTAATGTGTATCGTTTTGTATGAGGACGATTAGCCCGGAGTTCGCGTAAGTCGGTGGTTTTAGCTTTTTCTACTTTTTGCATAAATTTCTCAATGAGTTCAGGACAATTTAAATTCTCTTCTGGTTCCCATGTATCGTCTGCCGCTGTAAATCCTTTCCAACGAATTAGAAATTGTCTCGTTTTGTTCTTCTTAAAATGTACTTCTATAATCTTTTCAACTTCAAACTCCTTCTGTTCATTCTCATCACTCTTTTCCTCATCTGAATCAGCTGTTTCCACGTCTGAAATTAGTTACATAACGATTGGAATACATACTTGTTGCAATATTTTTTTGAAATCCCTTAATGCAGCATTTCCTAAACTATGTTCCGCAAAACACTGGTGTTCCGCGGAAAATGAATAAGTGTTCCGTGAAAAATTATTGTTGTTTGGTTTTAAACAATTAACATTTGAAAATGTTTGTTCTTTTTTTAACGCTTCCTACACTACAAGATAACCAAGGTGTTCTGTTACAATTTCAGAGTTTGTAAAGTAGTCATAGGAAAAGTTTAGGAAACGCTGTCTTAAGGCATACACAGTTCATGTTTATTGACACCAGACATTTTCAAGTCACATACGTAACAAGCATCTCATATTCAAGTTCGTAGATAATTTTGAAAGTTATAATTTTGTTGATGCTTGGTTCTTGTATTGTTATATATATTATAAAGTTAATATTTTTCATTATATAAGACTTTTCTTTTTGTCTCTTTGGAAGAAAATTAAAAATATATGTGCAAATTTTTACATACTTTGTTGAGTATTTTAAATAACTCGTATGTACTTTCTAACAGCCTTGGATATCACTTCAAAGGTAATATAACAAAAAGTACCATTTGCAATTTGTTTCTTTAGATTAACCTTTGACTTCTTAGACTTTCTGTCTACTTTTGGGGATTTTGTTTTTGATGCTTTTGAAAGAGTATCAGTTTTCTTAGATTTGTCCTCATCACTTTGTGATTCTTCTTCTGCTAAAAAGTCTTCAATAAGTTCTGGACAGTTCAAGTCTTTTTCTTGTTCCCAAGTATCGGAATCTTCATCATATCCTTTCCATCTCACTAAGAACTGTCGCCTGCCTTTAATAGTACGTTGTCCAACAATTTTCTGAACCTTTCAAATAAAAAACTTTTATTTTACAAGCATATAAACAAATTTACACAGATAAACTTCAATGTTTATAATATGGAACTAACTGAATTAATGATTTAGAATCAAATGTATTGCATTATTTTGAATCTTTTAAAACATTTAATAAACGAGACAAATATCTATTTATTCCTTATTTTCATATGTTCTTAAAAGTGTCAATTGTATCTAAATACTATTTAGATGCAACCAATTCCACGCTGACTGTAGTCACTTACGGGTCAGGTTTTCGTTTTGTTGGTTGCGTAAAGCGTCTACCGTACACATTCCCTCGACGGTACGTAAACAGAATGGTGTATTGTAACAACCGCGAAACAAGTAAGTACTAAGCCAAAACAAACCTCATACTCCTTTTCAACGTTCCCATCCTTTTTTATCGAAGGGGACTCCTTCAGATCCTCCTTTTTCAATCGTTTGTTCGCTCCACCCTTCCCAGTGTTCTTATTTTCATCTTCTTCAGTTGTTCGATCATCTTCACTTTCGTCGACTTCTTTGACGTTATGTCGGCCACGAGATTGTCGTTTTCTCGGTGTACCTTTTCGTGAGTTATCCATGTATTCTTCGTCCTTTCCTTTCTTTATTTCGTCGTCCCTTCCTTTTTTCAGTTCGTCGTTGTCGGACGTAGAAGGGGAGACGCCATTTTCCTCCGAACTGTTGTCGCTCATCGTTTCAGACTTCCTACGTTTGCTCTTCATGCTCAATCTTCGCATACTATTCCCACCGGCGATAAAACGTAATCTTCTTTACGGACCCCGTTCTAAGAAAATTGGAAATCGCGCGCTTTCACTTGACTATTTTATAATCGTTTATGTATACACCGTTTGGATTCCCACTCCTGTAAACAATTCGGAAGTGCGATACTGATTTCTTGCGCAGACGTGTCAAACCAAAAACTTCCAATCTAGCGCGGCAGACGCGGCAGACAAGGATAACCATCATGTTCAAATTAATATCAAAAAATAATGAATCAACGTCTTGTTCATGACTGTTTGTATTACAAATTCACACTACATTTTTTATATAATTTCTGGCCGATATTTTCATAATTGTAAAAGTGTTATAATATGACGCCGTAAATAATATCGTTAAACTTCCGGTCTTTATTAGTTAGTACTAATGTTAGATACTCCTGGTGTATGGCGTTTTATCTTTACTAGTAATTCTATTTTTACGATAAGTTTACACAAGATTTGCTTGAATGTTGTGTATATTTTATCGATTTCATTGATCACGTAATTCTAAATACCGTTTTAACGATTATAGTCATTCAAGTGTTACAACATCACAGAATAATAATGACTGCATCTGATGCGCATGTCCAAACAGAGAATAGATCGGGTGAATCATGGACTTCCCCTGTTTTGCTTCACAGGCAGTTTATTAATTTTTTCACTTTTAACCGTAAAATATTATTGAAATTAAAATATTACACAAATATATATGTACGAGGTACCACTGTCCAACTTGTCGCTGGAGTTGCAAAAGCCTTCGTTAGTTCTTCTTTCACCATCATTCGCCGTTACCATGGTGCAAGACGTGGGCTAAAGAATCGTAACATCTTTTGTGTTACAGTACATAACGCTACCGGTAATTCGCGGGGTAACGTTACTGGGAATCTCATGGTCACCTTAGCGTCGTACAGTTTCCTTGACGACGAAGTTACACTTTGCGAGAGGAAGCTTGTACATGAGGGGTCCGTAAACTGGACAGCGTTAATATAAGGCAGGGACCAACAATGTCTTCAAATTCCCTCCTGTTCATGGACAAATTTTGGGGACCAAAACTGTTTCCAAATATGTATGATATAATAGTTTCTACACCTATCATTCGACGAGAATAATAAAATTAGCTTAAGATCGACAAGAATACAGTGGATTTCGCTTATTTTGACTACCAGTTAATCGAGGCAGCCGTTTATTTGGGACAAAGCTCAAGGAACAAAACCTAATCGAATGTACTGTGATAGTTCGCAAATTGGGATAGACGCATAATCAGGCTAAAGAGCGTTAGTCGGATAATTAAATACACGTAGGAAAATGTTTAGCCAATAATGATTATTGTTTATCACGCTATTATATAAATTGCACTACGAGAGTAAACAATCAACGGTTTGATTATCGAATAATTTGTAGAATTAGAAGGGGCTTCAAATGTGAGATTTTTAAGAGTTACATTTAAAGATTTGTGATGTATTTTGATAACTAATCAACATTCTATGAGTATATGGGTATGAGTATCACTATATTAAGTTGGGGTAAACGGGTACCGAAAATTTTCCGTCTAATGTGTACAGTTCATTGAATCAAATTATCTACTATACACCTGCTTACAATACTTGCTATCATGAATAAAGTATATTCACGTTAGAAAAATTGTACTAACAACGCTTATTAAATCTTTCCGGCACGAATTGAGAATGAAGAATATTATGATCACATGAAGATGGAATGGAAGATGTCACAGGAAGATTTTCATATTTTCTTTTATAAACGTTACTAATTAACCGAATGATATCGGTGTATAATTCTACTTTTTAATACAAGTTCCCGATATAGTTATTCTGATTTTCTGCGTAATATTTGCAATGATCTGTACATACATATATATGTGCATATGTATTTGAATTTATATTGCTTCCGTTTTGAACTTCTGTGAAATATGATAAAAAAATCAATATATTTAAATGTTATTGTAGATACTGTTTTATGTTCGTAATTTTAATTGTAAACAAGAATTCTAGATTTTTTTCTACGTAATTTAGTACATGACTCCTCATTTTGATTTGAAAAGTAATGGGTCAAAAATGCATGGATTATCTCATTAAATAAACATCAATAGTATATTTAATTATAATGAATATGTTCTCTGCATTCTTTAATATGGTCTGAACAAAATCTATTTTTTCTTCCATAAATGACGCCATATCGAAAATAAATAGCGTGTATATAAAATTGTAACCAATATATTTTAAGCATGTAATTTAAATAAATTATTTATTCTTCAAAACCCACAATTTATATGTATTTAGTTTTCATAGTACGTAATGTTTCTACTTTTCTTAATTATATTGTAATGCTGTACAATATCACTTGCTGACGAAAATCGCGGCAAAAAAGTTTTTATATGTATACAATAATAAGATATTAGAAGATACTATTAAGTCGATATTTAATCAAGTATACGGCTACTGTGGTTGCTTTGGCGACCAGTAATACCTCAGTTATCACTGCCACTGTTAGGGTACAGGTTGTGTTACATTTTTGTAGATTACAGCTTGAATTAAATTTCTTTTAAAATTATGGCTAATAAATCTGTAACCACCTATGAAAAACCTCTACCACACATAGGTAAGAATGTTATTCATTAATTGTTCTCTTCTTGAAATCAAGATGGATATTAATATGTGCCTCCAGATACTGTAATTATTTATGTAAATATTTTTTATGATAAACATTACTAATTTATATAACAGGATTAGCGGACTGGTATGCAAAACAATGGGAACTTCAACAAGGTGCAGATGCCACAAGTGTAGAAGCATTTAATTTAAGAAATTCAGGAAAAATTATTCAGTCAGAAACTATGGTGAAAACTATATGGGACACGTACATGAATAATGCTCGTCTTGCCGATAGGTAATAGATTCCTTAGATTTTTTTGGAAAAAATATTTACGTATATTTTACATTTACAGGGTAACAGAGTTATCACGATGGAGGGAGTTACTTCAGAATTTATTAGATAAATTATTATCGGAGATTCGTTCTCTAAAGGATGAAAAAATTGACGCAGAAAAAGAATTAGAAACATTAAATTATCCTTTACAAGTAACAGCACAATGTATTTCAATGAGAGATTGTCGTAGGGGGACTGAGCTTACTTATGATGAAGCTGATACAGAACTGAAAAAAGAACTCTGTGTCATAGAGAATGTCAAACAGTCATTGACTAACAGGTATAATATTGATATAAAAAAGAGTGTAAATATTTGAATCACAGATTATTTTTTTGTAGAGTCCAAGCTGCATGGGAAAAGTTAAATCGTTTGGAGGAAGTTCGATTTAAAGTGGCACTGGATGTAGAAGATAAGGATGAAACTATAAAAATAGATAAAGAAAATCTTAGTTTGGATCGTACATGTGCAAATATTAGCTATAAACCAAATTCATTAAGGGTTCCAAAAAAGTAAAAATAGTGCCTTTAAATGAATTGTTTTGAATTAGTATCTATGTAAAGTAATTAACAAGAATGTGAAGTATTTACTTTGTACTTATAGTGCAATATCTTATGAAGCTTGGTTGGAACATTGTCGGTATTCCAAAATTTTGGCCGATAACGAATTAAGCGACGTGTACAGTTTTCGCGAGTCCATGAATGTAATGCGGGAACGCGCAAGAAATGACATTAAGGCTCAGCAGGATGTAACAGACTTCAGTTTACGGAAAAGAATATATCAAACACAAAAAGCTCGCAATGAATTGGAATGGCAAAAGCTTAAAGTAACTGTGATATCTAATATATATACGAGTACAATGGCAACAAAGCAATTAATGTGTAAATACATTTCACTGTAATTTGCAGATACAAAAAGAAATGGAAATCATGCAAAAAGAAATAGTGCGACTGGAAGATGCTCTCCTGCACAAAACTGATTCAATTAAATGCGCAGAAACAAGATTAGAAAATCGCACTTATCGTCCTGGTTTTGAGATCTGTCGTGATGAAGTAGACTTTGGTTTGAAAGATGAGGTTTTACAGTTGCGACAGACTGAAAAAGATTTGAACAAAGTTATCGACAATTCGAAGTATGTACACGAATTACACAATCCTTAGTTAATATGACCACCTAAAATACCTTCGTAATTCTTACTGATGTAAGAAAATGACCGAAGAAAACATATTTTGATGGCGCTAGTATTACGACGGACCTAATTCTTGATGTCCGCTACATTACAACATTTGCATCTTCAAATCGCAATATGTTGTTTTTAGTCATTTTACAGATACTTTGGGTGATCACATTATTTGTAATAACAAAAATCACATTATCAGTAACATTTATCTTACAGTAACTATTACAAGTAATTATTCTATTTTATATTCGTATTATTTTTTAGACAAGTGTACAACAATCTAGAAAGTTTACTTCTAAGAATTGAAAGAAATATAGATGATAAACAGCATTCGTTAGGAACGGATGTGATGTGTTTGGATATGCGAGCAACATTAAAAACTGGGGATAGAACACGATTACCTAATGAAACGGACCGTAACATTGTTCTTACGCGTATGGAGCAGGAAATACCGCTCGAGTCAGCATAATGTACGTGTAACTCTACTAGACAGAATTCTGCTTAAACACATAAAATGTGTGTTTATTGCTTCACATATCAATATATTGGTCTTACACGCTTCACTGTATTTGTCGATGTTTACGTATCGATATTCAAGGAATCTGGATTCGCCTTAATTAAACTGTACTCTGATATAAAAGAATCTGTCAATCCTGGTTCCAATGTTTTCACTGCTCTTCTGTGTAGATCTCCAACTTTCTTCGGATCACCATGTTTCATTTCAAACTTGATGTAATCTATCCAGATACTTGTGCTAGTTTTCCCAAATTGTAACGTTGACATTTCCTGGCATTTTCTAATGTATTTTAGTGATAGCTCAGGTTGCATAAGTTCCAGTTCTGTCATCTTTCTATGGAATTCAATGGAGAATGGTGGTTGCAAACAGAGATTGTTATAAACCTTCCGTGCTGCTTGTATACCTGAAATAAATATCTTATGTAATATAAAACTATAAATTGTAATTTTATTAATTAGATGTACAGACTTTTTGTTAAAACCAGCCATTCAATATAAGTTGGTTTTATTTCTTGAGCTATATTTGGATGACCCTGTAAGGCTGCTTGAAATATTTCTTCTGTTTTTTCAGGACTTTTTGCTTGTACATGTAATATTTTCATTTTCCACAAAGGTAATGATTTTTCTCCAAGAACCTGAGTTACCTAAAAGTCACATTATAAGTCCATGTGCATGCATAGGGTACTGTATGTGAAGATTACAATGTACCTTTGAAAAAACAGTTTCAGCTTCTTCTTCTTGTCCTGAGATTAACAAGTATCTCAATCTGGCATGCCATAAACTTACACTACTTGGTATAGCTTCTGTAGCCATACATAGGATCTCTCTTATTTTCTTGTCAGTGGTTTCATTTTTTTGTTCAACATTTAACATGTTAACCTATGGTACACAATTATTAAATGTTATAAAACCTCATTGTTCTTTAATTATATTAATAAAACGTGCAAAAATGTTCAAATTTGTTGAACTGTGCAACTCGAAGTGGTACTAACCCAATGTAAATAATATTTTTCTTTCAACTTCTTTGCTTGGTGTGCTTGGGCAAATGCAGTTTTTAATAACTTTCTTTTGAAGTTTGGCAATGATCCAGCTTTCTGATTAATTTCTATCAAACATTCTATATAAAATGTCCACATTTCTTCTGTTTTAATTTTCTTAAGTGCTGTTTGGTATACTTTATTACAGGACGTTATACGGTCTCTCAAGGAGGTCTGTTCTGAACTATCAATTTCCATACTTGTGTCACTGAGAGAAGGTTGAACAAGCCCTTCCAACTCTCGTCTTGCCATTGTGTCCCACATTAGGGGTTCATGGGCATATTCCTGTATCATATCACTGCAAAAAAAATTTCATTAATATACATCTAGAAGATGTACATTTAGTATACTTTTTTTTTACCTACCTAACAATTTTATTTTGTAATTTTTCTGTGTTATTGTGTTCTTTTGCAATATTAAGTAACTCTACTATGAATATAATATCTTTGATACATTTTGATGCTTGCTGATATATGATATAAGCTCTCTTTAGTCCAATAGTCATATTATCTTCTGCTGGTACCACAGGGTCACTACTGGTTTCATTCTTTTCATTATTAGATGATGCCTCATCTAATTCTAATCTAAATTATATACAAAGTAGAGTACAAGAAGTATATCAATTTGTTATGAAATTAAGATCACTTAGACACTACTTTACCTGTAAGCATCAGTAAATAATAACTGAGAAGTTGGATGTATATGTAATCCTCTAAGCAAAAATTGACGAGCAGTCTGCTTATTTTTATTTTCTTCTAATTCCCAACGAGCCGCAATGTGCCAACATTTTGGTTTATCCTGATGAACTTGCAACATTCTACCTAACATGTGACTAACACTACTTTGAAAATGCTGTCACATTTTATATTAACATTCACTAATTACAAATAATTAAATACAATAAAATTGTTGATGATTTAAATAAATACTTACAACATGCTTACAAAATTTTATATAAGCAATCCAAAAACGTATGTCATCTTGGAATTTAAATATAGCTTCTTTGTACAAATTATTCATTTTGTTTGTAATGATGTGATCAATATTTGACTTCTTTTGGTTAATACCAAATTTCTAAATGAAATGATACTAATGATTAATAACGTATTATTAACCCTATACAAAGTATAAAATATAAAGAATTAAATCAACATACATCTCTACGTTGCTTGATCAATTTAAGGAGATCCATTAAGTACTGTATATATCGCAAATAGTCCTCTTTGGTTTTTGTATGCCGTTGAAGTTTATATTCATTCTCCTTAAGTTTTTTCGCAATCCCCCTACGCGAATTACAGTAAAGTAAATAACTACTAATTTTAAGTAAACAAATTTGGTCAGTTGCTTTGAAATTTAACCTATTACAGTTACCGAATTTCATTTTTGTCAAATAGTTTGATGCTTTCCATGTGTTCTAATTCAGGGATCATATCCTCACATCGTTTTTCCACGAATTCCGCCATAGTAGCTTCTTTTTAATTATCCAGTATACAAATTAATAAATAAAAATTGTTCCAATCGTGTGAACGCGTGTTTACCAGTGTTTACTAATGATTACTTCATGATCATTTGGATCATTCATGATTACCAAACCATCGACTACATAGGTATAAAATAGACCTAGCATCCAATGCTTTTTTCTGTTCCATGGTCTAGGGTGGTCCAGGGGCTACGTAGCCTATATGAAGAGGCTCGTTACGGTCAGTTACGGCTGATATGCAGCTATTACGTTGTCGAGATTCGATGAAGAATTATCACAATGTAGCTCGGTACATACATGAATCGATATTTAAATTAGCGTGGTGTACACAGCTCCTTGTTTTATTAATAAGATAGATTTTTTCTTTCACATGTATAGTAAACAGAGGAATTCGTCGCCTCTTAACGATGCATAGATCGAGGCCTTAGCTAGCAAGCGGTGCCATCTACAGAACATGGAGAAACCGGAATATAAAAGGAAGTGCAAACTGGTGCAAACATGGATGTGGATACGGCGAGCGATAATACGTCTATAGATGACAAAATAGACGATTTTTGCGAAAATCCGACGAGAGATGCTTTAACGGAAGGTTTAATGAGTCTTTTGAAGCCAACGGTGGATCAATTAGACGAAAGAATTCGTGCCACAAGGTATGCAAAGTTGCTGTAAAGACAATCGTTGTGCAGGAAATAAATTTGTGTACATACAGTCCTCATAGAAATATAGCGGGATCGTAAATTAACACTTCAAGCAGCGACGCCGATTAATGCCGCAGCACTCAGCTCCGTGTCCTGCAATCTTTTGTTGAGTTCTGTACAATAAACAAATGCCCATTTATGACTGATGGTATTTCATTTACAATTAGGAACACACATCCTCGTACAGCCCTGTCTGAGGTTTCAAGTTCTTATCTCCTCATATTTTTGTCAATTTCCGTGTCCCGATACACGACATGTTTACCTTATCGTTCGACTGATTTTACGAGTACGCTATATTTCTGCGAGGACTGTGTGTATGATTCCCGCTCCAAACTATTTGCGCGTATTAAATATTATTACCGTATCCAGATTTGCAATTCATTGCTCGTTATTCGCACAGAATATGTCAAATAGAATTGAAGCAACAAATCGAATCTCTGACAGAAGAGTTACAAAGGATTAACGAAGCGTTGCAGTGTCCATTGGAAACGGATTCCTATGTGAAAAAACTTATCAACGCTAAACACAAGATAACGATTGTGAGTAATATATTACAAAGTACACAGGAGCGATTAAACAGAATTCATCAAGCAGTAGAGAAAAACACTGCGAAAAGAAAGGCATTGTTGGATCATAGTTCGTTGTATGGTAATGCTACAAATGTTTTGGATAAACAAGAAGGGACTGAAATGGAAAAAGAACCTGGGCCATCTATAGAACAAGAATAGGTAGCGCCGAGGCGATCATAGGTTATTTGTTATACATCTATCCAGTTGTGTTAGCCTAGAGGTAGCCAAGGGTAAAACTTTACACAGAAATTCTTGTATGTTTCGTACATATACATTATGGATACTCCGTTGATTAATTTGTCTAGAGACGATGTGAACATGGTTTACGAACCTTCAGAGGATTCTTTCCTCTTAATAGATGCCTTGGAAGCTGATTTAGAATTTTTCAAAGACATAAAGCCCATGGCGTGCTTAGAAATAGGCAGTGGATCTGGCGTTGTAATTACTGCCTTGGCAATGGCATTGAACAAATATTGTCGGCCATTCCATCTCGCGATTGACATTAATGGCAGTGCCTGCCAAGTTACAAAGAAAACTGGTAAGCTGAATTCAGTGGAACTAGACGTCGTGCAAATGGATTTGTTGAGTTGTATATGCAGCAATTGCATCTTCGATATTGTGGTATTTAATCCGCCGTATGTTGTAACGAGCGACGAAGAGATTTCAGACGGAAGGTTACTGTATAAGAGCTGGGCTGGTGGTACAAACGGTAGAAAAGTTATGGATCGAGTATTCCATAAAATTCCTAATATTTTATCGCGTACTGGAACATTCTACTTATTGATCATTAAGGAGAATGATCCAGACGATATTTTGCGAATGTTTAAGGATTTAAATATGAGAGGCGAGGTAATAGTGGAAAGAAAGATTAGGGGTGAGCATTTGTACGTTTTACGTTTTAAAAAAATCATGTAATATGTATCTTCCTCGAGTACGATGGTTTGTGTGATAAACAGAGAAATTTTTTTGTCATGGAAGTAATTCGTCAGTACTTTAGTCATAGTTTAAAGCTCGAGGAACATATATCGAGAGTTTATCTTGCAAAGGAGATGCGGTACGTCAAACCCGCGTGCAGACGATCAAATGTCAGGCGCGAGAGTGATGTATGTGATACGTGTATAAAGTTAGAGATATTAATTGTTGTTACATTCAGTTTGTAAATACATATTTTACTAGGTATGTACTTAGATTGTCACTCCATCTCGTATTGAATGTATGTAAAGTATTGTTAGCTCAACATTGTTTTTCATTGGGAAACAACACAGAGTACAAAGTACTTTTTATCCTTTCCATGGTTGTACATTTTTAATCGTATTTAGAATTCCATTGCTTTCCTATTCCACCAAGAAATGCTTCTTGAAAATTACGTCTTGTTATAAAGGAGCGTATAGATAATAAGAGTAAGCAGTGTCTTTAAGAAACATTATAATTTATTTGAATTCAGCTAAAAAAATACGTCAATAATCTATTCTATCATCGCTTTATGCTTAAGAGTTGGATATCGTGTCCCGATGTACGAGAGTTACGCGGAAACAACTTTATCGACTGCTGTCAAATGCGTCAGTTGGTTATTTCGTAAATCGACACACGAAATATGGCTGTACAGTCGAGTAAACGTTATCATTTTTGTAATAAATTGATGGGAATGTGCGAAATACGTCGCGAGGGTAACAAGTAACGCAGTGTCCGTTAGAAATCGTGCGTGTGAACAGAAATGTACGTAGAGCACAGATCGAGCTGGCAAATAATGTTCGTATTAAAAAAAAATGTCGAGGTGGATGATCGTTGCCCGCCAATAGACGCGCACAATACAAACAGCGATACATCTGTATCGGCAGCAGGCGTAATATCAATTAATTCGAGCAGTACTTTTTACACTAAGTCGCTTCTTTGCGAGAAACATAAAGGGTGGTGTGGTTTGTCAAACGGTACTGGCTGCGGTAACATATGTCGATTATTACCCCGACGTTCGACGGTGGTAAAAATGTGTGTTAAAGGTCTACGAGTTTATACACTTCGATCTGTAAAGTCTTTGCAATTTAACGTAGAATACGAGCGCGCTGATCGTCGTTACCACCATGGTGCTCAGCATGAACGAGATCGCGAGGAAGAATCCGCTGTAGGTCATGCAAACGTTCGTCCTGGTTCTCGAGACTTCTTCTATATCGGTGTGTTCGAGGTGTTCCAATAGCTGGTTACTGGCTTCGGTCAAATCGTCTACCATGATCACTCTGAAGCCTCGTGTGACGCGTACCGGTTCGGACAGAAGCACCGCCGAAGTATTTGAGGGAGTGCTCGATGGCGTGTAATTCACCGATCGACGCCGTCTGCCCGGTTCAATTTGCTGAAAAGTATGGGGGTTTAACATTTTCGATGTAAATTATCAGATTCGATCGTCTGTCCGAGCCTTACCTGATCCGATTCTGGACAGGGTTCACAATCGGTTTTGCACAACTCGACGTTGCACTCGATGAACAGATCCATCACGTCGGGGAACTTGAACGCTTGGAAGTAAGCGTACGCGATAATCGAGGCCCCGGTGTTTCCGGTGTCGTTCGTTTTTTGGAACGCTCCGAACAATTTCGGTTTAAGTATACAGCCTCTTTCGTCCGTTAATTGTATAGTGTTAGCGGACGACTCGTCACGAGCGATGCAGTCGCGTACTTGAAGATCGAAGGCGGGATCACCTTCGACGGAAACGACCAGAGTCATGGTCTCTCCGATTTTCACGAGTCCGTCGGCCGCGGCCGCAAACGGACCTCTTCCGACCTGTATGTCCAATTTAGCGACCGCCGTATCACCGCTGAACGTTACGATCTCTTGATTGAGCATATCGACGGAGAAGTTGACCGTTAACGCTTTATTGATGTTTCCCTCCCAGAGGCAACGGACTCTTCTCACCGTGTCCCAGACCTCCTGAATGCCAGGCTCGTTCTAAACCGAGAATAAGAAACCTGTTTAGTATTTTATTTTCTACGCTATGATAAGGGGTGTCCCGTTAATTTGCGACACCCTGTATTTCGTCTTTCTCGAAACGTTTACCTGCAAAACCAACACGTTCTCGAGATAAGCTTGGCCAGCTTCACCGGCAAAGTCGTTGATGAATTGAGTGCCGCAGGAATCCAGATTCACCGTGAACGAATACTTGGTCTGGCCCGAATTCTGTTCGACGTACCTACACTCCGGGTTCATGAAGTAACCCTGCGAACATTCGCGTCGGATCAGTTAAGTATCGTTCAGCCAGCATATTGTAAGATCCGCTGAATACGTCAAAGATCGCTTACTTTCGAATAAATCACTCCGTCGAAGACCCTATTGAATTCGATGTTGATGGTCATCATGGTTTTGCTGCACTCAACGTCGAGAGCGTGGATATGCGGCGGATGTTTCAAGTCATCGTCGTCCTCTGCGACTGTCCCCTCTCCTGTTACTGTACCAGTGCCACTCGAGCCTGCGACGTATCGGAATACGAATAATTTGCAAAATTTCTTGCGGTAAACATGGAGAACGCATGGTAAACATGGATCGTTAGCTCACCTTGTCCGCTGGGAGGGTTAACAACAGTGGGGCCGCTGGTTCCGCCGGAGTTGTCCACAGGTGGAAATGCTCCGCCTGGGGTGGGGGATGGAAAACCCGTGGAAGCGGGGTATCCAGTCGCTTGGTCATACGAACCCCCTCCAGCTCCAGGTTCAGGGGTTGGGAAAGAAGGTCTAGGATTTTCGGTGGGGTATCCGTAAGTGGTGAATCCACTACCCGCAGCCGGATATCCGCCGATCGAAGCGCTTCCGTCCGCGGACGGGCCGTAAGAAGGACTAGCTTTTTGGGTCGAATAACCGTACGTAGCTGAAAATCCACCGGGTGTCGAGTAACCGTAATTCGTCGAGATTCCAGCTGCCTGAGCGGCGGTCGGTGATCGTGGGCTGGTGGTCGAATAACCGGTCGATGGTGGCAGATAGGTTGTCGAGCTTCTCGTCGAACTGAACGGTGGAAACGCAGAGGAACCGGAGTTGGAGTAGGAGGGCGGTGTAGGTCGGGGGTTGTACGAGGTGGACGGTGGTCCGTACGGCGATTGATTGTTCGGCGGAAGGTACGTTGGTCTTTGGGTGGAGAACGGTGGAGCTTGAACGGTGGACGGCTGACCGGATGGGAAAGCAACGTTCGTCGGAGAGAAACCCGCGGACGGCCTCTGGTAAGGGTAACTCGTTACCTCGTTTTGCGTAGGGGACGAATAGCTCGGCTGTTGTCCGCTCGATGGAACTTGGAAAGGTCTCGGTCTTTCTGGTGGCCTTTGAGTGCTGTAGGGCGGCAGGTATCCGGACGGATCCGACTGCTGACGAACTGTAAGAAGATCGATCTCGAGTGTTAGAATCATGGATTTTTGACAGATTCGCGGAGGCCGACCGATCCAAACTTTAACAACGACGCAACGTTGCCTGTCGCAAAAAAGGATCGACAGAAATTACCATGAATTATCATCCAGAACCTTTTTGCTTTAAATTTTGGATCGCGAGACCTCGATCATTTCCACGCGTACCTGTTTGCGCTTGTATGTTAAATGAGTAGTTACGAGTGCTCGATTAGTTTTCCTCTGGGTTTCAATTATTACACATACGTGTACAGTGTGAGGTTATTGATAAGCGTGTGCGAAGGTATGGTTAATCGCGTTTAAACAGTTACCGGTTGGATATCTAGTCTTTATCAACCGTGCTTTCGTTCACCGGAATATCATTCGAACCACTGATTCGTCTGCCTATCAGGGTACCGTCACTTATTCCCCTGTGGTTTTTACCACGTTTAATCGCTCCAGGTTCGGGGTATTTTCATCGATGCGTTTCATCGCGCAGCGGACGTGGATCCGCAGATTTTGATGTTCGAGAGTTATTACCCTTTTCACGAATTCGAAAAAACCGAGCCTGAAGTGATTCATCGAGGATCAACCAAAAGGTTACGGGCATAGCGGAGGGACGCAGTGCTCGTAGCACCCCTTCGTTTCACCTCGAAGGGGCGATTGGACGTGAGAAGTTCGTTTTTTTTTTTGGAGAACGTACTTTTACGTGCGCCCTGCCGGTAGATCCCTTGAATCCACTCTAGGATATTTTGGGCCATCACGTCCGCGGGCGACGCCGGAGCAGCTCGCTGGACTCTCGAGTGTGCTAGTGAATTTCAAACGATTGGTTTCGATCAAACTGATTCTCATCGTCGTCAGTTACGATGTCGCTTAAACGAACAGGGCACGACCTCCTCCGTACTCCTGACACGCGGCTGCGCTCAGGACAGCCAACACCGCCAACGCCGTCGCGGTTCCCTTCATCGTCTACCTGTAACGTGAGACCTTTCAATCATTTCTCTCCTGTCGGACCCCTACGTCGAACAGTGTTTCAGGATCCAAATTTAGTAGCTCATACACGCTTCTTTAGTTGAAGAAATTTTTAAATTTATAATATTGAAGTAGAAGTAACGAAAGAAATTTTGATCAATTTTAGGGATTCTCTTCGATTACGTTATCATTCACTAACAGTGTGCTCAGGGTCTTCATGAAAGTATGAATTTGTAGGAAATCTTTTTTCTACTTTTTACTCAGACTGATGATGTTAACTTTTTGCTCTATGATTTTTTTAGTGCCTTCGTCAATAATTCCCCGGAATCAAAAGGAATTCTTGTATTTATGATAATTGTACAGTTACTCTATAAGTCAAATATTAATATCAGCAAACTGATATATAGTAAATCATCGATGAATGCTCGAAGGCTCCCCGACACTGATAAGGAAAGGTCCTTCCTCTGGTCATAGGTTTATGAAATATGTAATGTTCAGTGCCGAGGAGCCTTTGAACACTCATCGATGATTTACTGTATAACTTCGTCGAACAAATGAACGAACGATTGTCAATTTCACTTTGACTCAAAGAAGACGAATAATATTTATGTTTGGTGAAACTATGTTGATATCGCCACCACGAGTCTGACTCGATGTTTTAAGCCGAGGGGTTAAAGATGCTGAGGAGAACGTTGAAAAATATTGCCAGCATAGATGAGAAACCTTGAATCTTTCGCGTCCTCGATCCAAGGCTGCGAGTTCACGGTCTACCGAGTACGCAAAAAAACAATGGAAAGTATCCCGGGCAAGTTGCTGGTTCACCTTCCACACGAAAGGTTAATTAAGAGCGAGCGCGTCCGCGCGAAATTCGAATTTCGCGCTAGGTTTCTCGGCGAAGAAACAAGAAAATGGAAAATTCGTTTGCCCGCGATATTGACGCGACTCCCGCGATTCGTTTCGTCAGCATTTCGACGTGAAGCTTAACGAGTATGGGGAGACGCAATCGCTAAATAGTTTTCACGATTGTTTCGTTTTTCTCACGTACATCAGAAGCGTTTCGTCAGATCAGATTACGAGGGGAGCCGCAATCGCCTGGTGTCTCTAATCCCTCTCTAACGTTTCGGGAACCGTCGAAACATCAACGTACAGACTCGATTCGCGACTAAATTCGTTTAACGAGGAACGAGCTTATTACAGTAAAAGCACGTTTATTGCAAAGTTTGGAGTTGTAGAGGGTTAAATTTCCAGGAATACTGCCAATCGTTCGTTCATTTGTTCGACGAAGTTGTACAGTTAATTATCGATGAGTGTTCAAAGGCTCCTCGGCACTGAACATTACATATTTCATGAACCTATTACCAGAGGAAGGACTTCTCCTTATCAGTGCCGGGGAGCCTTCGAGCATTCATCGATGATTTACTGTATATAGAGTGGGATCTATACATTTTTTGATCACCTTAACTATCTCCGTTATTCCTAGAGATATCAAGAAATTTCATTCAAAAACTAAGTTAGTATCGAAATATTTTATTCAAACAATATTATATATACTTTCTGCGATGAAAAATATGCGGCAATGTATCGCGTTGCTTCCTGGACGACAGCGTGGGGTGGCAGCTGTGTGAGAAATGTGAGCTAGGGGGCGTTCCTATAATAAAATAGCCTGCACTAAACGAGCTTCTACTGTTATCCCGATCGCTGTGAAAAATTCTCTCGTACGTTTTCGGCGGTAAATTCGGCGGGTCAATCGGTCGCGATAAAGAGCCGCTGAATGGTCATTAGTCGTTGGGTCGCGTGCAGAAACGGAAACCGAACGCTCGACCCTCGGGTGTCCTCTCGAGGATTTCAATTCTCGGAGCGTCGACTCCGTAAGTTGCTTCGGTCCCCGATGGTTTCACCGTAACGCGAACCGTTGGGATAGAAAGTTCTCGCGGCGGATGTATCAGATACGGAGATGGCTGCGCCTCAGGAGGAACTCGTTGGAGTTTGTCCCCGCCGGGGAAACTCGAAGAGCACTGTCGCTTTCGACGAAGGTGAACTTACGAGAGCCGGAATATCCCGGTAGGATCCGGACGCTTTCCATCGCGTCGCATCGGTTCGATTCGGTTTCGTCGGGGGAATCGGCCCTCGAGTGAAACCGAATCGTGACGCGCTCAGCTTCGATCGCCGCGTGGTACGTTCCTCGTGGTCCCTCGGAAGGATCGTCCTCGTGGATCGCAGCGGCGTCGCGGTTGTCCGGGCAAAAGTTCGAAAAGTCAACCGGGGAATCGTGCTTAGCCGAGGTGAAAGGTGAAAGTCGCGGCTGCCTCGTGCCTGCGCGCGCGGCGTAGGTTATATACTTATTCGCCTCGCAGGAACGGATCTAGCGAATTCAATCGGAAATCACGCGTTGTATTGTGTCTTTAAGAGGTATAGTGACTTTGTAAAAACAGCAGGGGGTTTGGGTTCTTTGCGTTTTTAATAAGGGAAGAGTCCCAATGTGTCCGATTTTGATTTTAACGGGGTTTTGTAAGATGATAGTATACAGCAGGGTTTCCCAAACTGTGTTTCGCGATAATTTGGAAAGGTTTTATCATAGCGTTCCATTACAATTTTCGGGTTTGCGAAGTGTTCTATTGCAGAAAAAGTTTGGGAAACCCTGGTATACAGGGTCCTAATGATATGTGTGAAATATTAGGTGTAGACTTAAATAGTTTTACATCTTATGAAGGAAGAAATATTTCAAATTTGAATGTTACAAAATGTATGTTAGACGTGTGGTAATAGAAAGTAAATGGGAGCAAATAAGTACAGCCTCGAAGAAGTAGCAAACGACACGTTTAACGGCTTGTACCCTTAAAGGTACCACACAGAATACTAACTGAGAGGATCACAACTAAAGTCACTGTACTTCGAAGGGGCACTTTACACAGTTTGCCATTCGTATTAAAATAAAAATAAGAAATTATGTTTGCTATTCTTATTCCTATTACAATGAAAGTATGATTTAGCTTACGGGTAAATTTCGTGCGAGTCGATCGACTGTTATCAAAGAAGAAATTTGCGTCAAGGGAACATTATCGTCGTGTGCCGCTGCACGCTGATGGCGAGCAGTCGTTTATACTGGTTCCTATCCGTCCACGGTCGCACGTCGGGATTCATTAAAATACAACCGCGTGTGAGAAACACACGTGGGAGAGGGGGGGATCTAACGAGTGGTACAAATGAGATTCCAATTTAATTAGGATCGTGCAAGTTCTTTAAACGATGTGTCCGGATAAAGAGATTGCGAAGATCGGCCCCGCGACGTGGGGAATAATGAAAATGAAATTGCGGGAATCGAATTGCACGGATGGAAATATGTGAAAGTTAATGGGTTGCGTAAACTTGTATCTAACAGCGGCGTGTCGTTCGTCAGTAAGGATGACATCAAATAATAATAATAATTGATAGCGGTTTCAAAAATCGAGGAATTGAAGGAACGGAGGAAAATTCCAATCAGATTTGTTCTAAGCGGAAATTTTGATCGATATCCGGTTTTATCAAAATAATATTTCGAGAAATATCAGCACGGTAGCGATCGAACTTGTCCGCCTAACGCTTTACTTGGGTCTCGTTTATGTCGTCTCCATTACCGGTGTAATGAGGAAATTTTATCGACCTTTCACTTTTGAAAAGCAAACTTAATTTCGCTGGACCGTGGCCGATATGAATCGCGATTAAAGTTGACGGCGCCGTTGAAACGCGAAACGGATCGATGGATGATCGGTCGACGATATTTCCTGCAGCAGAGACAGCAAGAAAGGCACGTATTTTCTGAATGATAAAAGAAGATACAACGTGAATATAACTGACACGTTATGAACTTCACGCGGAAAAAGATGTCGCGAGAACGAACGGTACAGTAAGTCCTCGATGAATGTTCGAAGGCTACTCGGCACTGACAAGGGGAGGTCCCCAGGTGTAACGTTGACTCTTTAACGAGGTTTATCACAGTGATGAAATAATTCTGAAGCCAATGATATTTGTTTCAGCCGCATACGGTCATTAGTTTATGAAATATTTAATGTTCAGTGACGAGGAGCCTTCGAACACTCATCGAGGATTTATTGTATTCAAACGAACCGAATGAGAAACGATTGGAAAAAGGGCAAATGTTTTCTTTATCGGATTGTTCACGAGTAGGAGTAACTTTTATAAAACGACGGCGTCGAACGGGGTTTTACAATTAGCCAATTCCAGGCAGTGAATTGAAAACGGTGGAGCAGGTTGGCAGGAGAGGAGAAGGGGAGACCGAGTGTCTAGCCACGTGAAGCGTGGTCGCGCGCAATTATCATAGGAAATTCTTGAAGTTTGCAAAGAGTTGCGCGTAAGGTGGTTGTTTGCGGTAGCGGGATTAGGCAAACGTGGCGTGCACTTGAGATGCTGCGGTTTCGTTCAATGCTGACGAGCGACGTTTCGACCGAATGCGGCGTCTTAATAACGAGACGGGCGCGGCGGTACTCGTTTATTATCCGATTTCATAAGAAGCCGAATAAGTGTGGCCCGTTTCGTGACTGTACGCGGCAACGATTCACGGTGGCGTTAGACGAGTCGGGCAGATCGTGTCGATGGGACACGCGTTTCGTTAAGGCCCCTTTCCCCTTTAGCGGCCCGAAACAAAAGTGACACTTGGGAATTTATTTTTAAAAAATGCAAAGGTGATATTATAAAAGAACAATTTTGTTTCAATTTCAAATTTGTGCAACCTGGAAAATTGTAGGTGGCGCTAATCGTTGTTGATCCGAATATATAGCTGATTCAATGACAAAAAGAATGCCACAAGAATAGTTAAAATCGGTTAGTAACTTTTTATGTTACGATCGGCACCGTTTGTATACAGTGCAATTTCGGATCACTACTATTAGCGCTACCTACAATGCAGGAATATTGAAACAAACATTTTCTTTATTAACCTGAATGTATAATAAATAAAGATCAGAAAGTTTTTCTACCGTATCTTTGATTTCTTTAAA